AAATAGCTGATTTAGAAGTCGGTTCTCCAAGTCATTTTTGTTTTCAGTCTGACTATTTTGGACTTATGTTTGAGGTTTACTTTGCATTCCTGGTAATTCTCACTGTAATGACTAACCATGACAGTCTTTCTGGAACCAACAGTTAGTCTCCATGATCTTTTCCGCTTTACTCCCTGCAGAGAAACCGGGAAGACCATAGAGACTAACTGTTAGTTATTAAACACTGTCTGACGAAAGGTGTATGTATATGGCTGAAGGATCCTGTCATTAATTAAAAAGAGGGATGAGTTTTTATCATTTTATACGGATGTTTCATTTAAAATATATACAGTTGCAAGAAAAAAGTATGTGAACCCTTTGGAATGATATGGATTTCTGCACAAATTGGTCATAAAATGTGATCTGATCATCATCTAAGTCACAACAATAGACAATCATAGTCTGCTTAAACTAATAACACACAAAGAATGAAATGTTGCCATGTTTTTATTGAACACACCATGTAAACATTCACAACATTTAAAGGACAGAAAGGACTTCCAAGTGTCGGCTTCTCTGGGTTCGTTGTTTTCCGCCTCTTGCCTTCTCAGCTGGTGGAGAAATTGCACCTGGTCGTCCGCAGAGGTGAGTGTGAATGTCTGGTCTCCCTTCATTGCTGTTAGAGATCCATCTGCCCCCCACCGGTATTTGACTGCCTCCGCTCTCAATTGTTTAGCCACTGATGCTAGTTGTCTCCGCTCCACTAGGGCTGCGAACAGGAGGTCTCCATAGAGGGACACTGTATTGCCTTCGAATTGAACGCTTCCTATTTCTTGGGAGCGGGCCATGATCGCTAAGCGGGTTTGTATATCTTTCATGACCGCTATGACGTCTCTTGGGGATTCTGCTGGCGCTGTGGCGGCTTTGCGTATTCTAAATGCGGTTACTATTTTGTCTGGTTCGGTGTGCAACCTTATTTCCATTCTGGTGATAAGGCGGGATATGTACCTCAACAGGGCTTCTTCCCCAACGGTCTCTGGTATTCCTCTGATGCGAATGTTTCGCCTTCTGTGGCGGACCTCCAGCGTTGTGACCGTCCTCTTGAGCTGCTGGACCTGTGAGCGTAGATCCTGCACAGCGTCACTGGAGATCTGTTGCTGGGTGTCTCTGGCTCTTTCTCTGGCTTCAACTTTGGTGAGCCTCTTCTGGATGACCCCCATCTCCTTCCTTGTGGTCTGCAAGTCTGCCCTCCACACCCCCTCATTTCCTCTAGGAGATCTCTAATATCCCACTTTGTGACTGGGGATGAGTCTTCCTCAGATTCAGATGCCTGACACTGGGCTCCGTCTTCTGCCTGAGATGAGGTGGGGCTGTCTCTGCCCTCCTGGGAGTCATCCGAGGCTTCCTCCTCGCTGGGTGCGGCAGGCGCGTTTTTGGCTGTTGCCGCCAGATTAGGCCTCGTAAAGGAAAGCCGAATGTCGGGTGTTTTAAGTGGTTCCGGAAGGCGGAATTTCTTGTTTTTTCGCCCCATGTCCGTTACTGTGTGGGGGCTGTATTTGTTGCATTTGGTGGGTTCCATTTGCGGGTTTCTGGTCTCTATTTTGAGTCTCTATATCGGAGCTGCACGAGAACGCATCTTCCTCGTTACATAGCTGGCCACGCCCCGTAAAATAAACTTTTAATGTGGAGCGATTTTAGAATTTGGTATGTTTGTCTTGTGAGCTTAATAGCCATAAAAGAAAACAAAATTGCCACACAAAAGTATATATTTATATAAAGTAGACATCACAGGGTATTTACCTAAGGTTGTTTTGACACTTTCTACGTAGCCATTTCACCGCCAACCTCTGCTAAATATTGGAGAAAAATTGTGTTTTTTTTGGTTTTTGGCACACAAACTTATAACAAAGAAATTCTCATGTGTATTTTGTAAAGTTGGTGTGTGCTTTTCCTGTACAAAGTTTTATTTTGTGTTCAGTTACATCTGCTGAGTAAAATGACACTCCCATTGTATGTCTTTGGCACTATTTTGTGAAATAACAGTGCCAAATAGGAGACCTGCCCTTTTCAGTATTCACAGTAGAATTTTGAGAGACGGATTTAATGAGCCTATGCTTCCATTTGGGGTATTATAGTAGTTTGACTGTTCAAAAAAAAAAATCACAAAGGCCTACCATTTGTAAAAGTAGACACTCCAGGGTATCTCATAAGGTTCATATTGTGCCTTAACATGCCCCCATTTTTTCACCAATATATGCCAAAGAATGTGGTAAAAAATAATTTTGGGCATTTTTTACTTACAGATTGCTGGGCATTTTGTATATTTCATATGTGCCACTTAGTTCAAAACCCCCAAATTATGCTCAGCTAAGTCTTCTGAGTAAAGAGACACCCCCAATGAATGTCTTTGGCACTATTTCGTGAAGCTACAGTGCCATATAGGAGACCAAGCCATATCAGTTTTTACCGAACTTTGAATTTTGACACTGGGCCTATGTGCAATTTCCAAGCATCTTCGCAGGTTTTAAATTCAAACTACCCCTCAAAGGCCTACAATTTCTTAAAGTAGACACCCCAGGGTATTTCAAAAGGTATATTTTGAACCTTAGCGTGGGATCATTTTTCCGCTAGCTTGTACCAGGTGTAGTGGTAATAAGTGTTTTTTCTGCCTTTTTGACACACAGAGTGAGTTTGCACAGTATATTTTGCAAACCTTATGTGTGCTACGACTGTATAATACTTCATATGTTGCTCAGCCACGTGGTCTGAGTTCAGCAATACCCCCGTATGTACCTTTGCCAGGTATATGTGGATGTTGAAGGGGCACATTTGAGACGCAGCCATTCAGTTTTTTTCTAACTTTGAAGTTTTACGCTGTGTTCATGTTCCAATTTGGAGTAGTTTAGATGGTTGATAATTGAAACTTCCCCACAAACACAGACTATTTATTAAAGAATACACCCTGGGGTAATTCAAAAGGCATATTTTGAACCTTAGCGTGGGATCAATTATTCTCTAGTTTGTTCCAGGAGCAGTGGTAATGAGCGTTTTTAAATGTATGTTTTTACTTTTTTAAACTTGTTTTTACTTTTTTTTAAACTAGTTTTTAAACTTTTGTTTTGCTTAATAATTTGTTTAAACTTTCCTAAACTTTCTTAAAACTTTTTTTTACAGATTTAACATTTTTCTAAGCTTTTTTTTTACCGTTAACCCCTAACTAGCAGTAAGCAGCTCTAACAGTAAATTCCCCATTTTCCCATAACTCTCACCCACCCCAGCTAGCAAAATATATAATTATAAAATATTTAAATTAGTTAATTAAATAAATTGATCCCCTGAGGATTAAAAATTAAATAAAAATTAATAAAAAATAAAAAAATTTAACCCCCTGAGGGTTAAAAAAAAAAAGAATTAACCCTCAGGGGTTAAAAAAAAAAATCAGGTCATTGTAAAATGTAATCCCTGCCAATTGATCACTGTAGTCAGTGATCAATTGGCAGGGAAGGGGTTAATTTTTTATTAAAATGGGTAAAGGGTGGTGGGATTTTAAATTAACTTTATTTTTTTTTCTAACAGGGACAAGATCAGTGATGATCCGTCTCACTGCACTTCACAGTGAACCCGGAAGTGCAGGGAGGAGGAAGGTGAGTATACTGATCACATGTGCTCGCTCTAACAGCCTGTCAGAGCGAGCACCGGTGCTGGGGCAGCCCGATCGGGTGCTCACGGTCTGCCTCTAACACAGAGGCAGACTGGAGCACCATTAACCGGCGCGGCGATCTGGGGTTAATTTTACCACGTGACGGACAAGGTCCGTCACTCGTCGTTAAGGGTCCGTCACTCGTCATTAAGGGGTTAAAGCAGCTCTGTTGTTTTTTTTGTTTATGTATTTGTTTATTTGCTTTATATATTTATTTTGTCAACCTTTTCCCACCTTATTTTTTTCTTCTTTTTTTATTATACATATGGAAAAGTAATCTACCATAGTAATCATTAAGTTGACAAAATGTGCTTCACTTCCCTTATCAAATCTGTCAAAGGTTGTTTGACCCTATATGTCACGGTTCACTCCTTAGGTGATATTCCTTTGTGCAGTACCTGTATTCACCACTCCCCCTGTTTGGTGCTATTCCTTATTCCTTATCATTTAGCTCCTCAGATGGTCCTTGTTAAGCACCTTTATAGTTTGGTCTCACCCTTCCCTCAGGGTCAGATCATTGTTTCCTCTGACCCTGCATCCTCTGGTCTTGTGTTCCTGTATCCTCTGGTCTTGTATCCTGCATCCTCTGGTTTTGTGTTCCTGTATCCTCTGGTCTTGAATCCTGCATCCTCTGGTTTTGTGTTCCTGTATCCTCTGGTTTTGTGTTCCTGTATCCTCTGGTCTTGTATCTTGCATCCTTTGGCCTTGTATCCTGTAGCCTTATTTCCAGTGACTCTGACCTGCTTCCTTTGGCCTTGTATCCTGTAACCTTATTTCCAGTGACTCTGATCCTGCTTCCTTTGGCCTTGTATCCTGTGGCCTTGTTTCCTGTGACCCTGACCCTGCATCCTTTGGCCTTGTATCCTGTGGCCTTGCATCCTTTTGACACTGAAGTATATCCTGCGGCTCTGAATTTCAAGTGTACACACAAGTAAGGGCAGCAGAGGACTCTTTGAGCATGTCAAAGGAGTACAAGGAAACATGCCCACAGCCCAGTCCCCACTGAAGGTATGCCTTAGGCAGAGATAATACCATTTCCTAGCCATACCAATTCATACCGGCAATGAGTGGTTCTGATAGGTTGACAGTTGCCAGCTGATAATCACAGCAGCCAATCGCATTTAAGATTATTGCCAATTCCTCATTAGACCAAGCAAGAGAGGGGGTGTGCTCCTATGGACTCTCATTCAGCATAAAACCATTTGAAAACGTTTTCACACTGAACAGAACGATAGTGCCAGAAATTCAGATAACCTTATCCTTTAACATAACCAAGTAATTTGGACAATAAGACAAAAAAAACATAATTTGCTCACTAGTCGTTGAGGAACACATAGTATTTATTTATTGATAGAACAATAAAGATAATGACATCATACTTTCAGAACTACAAGTTGAACTACTGTTGATTGTAATTAACTTATATTTCACTTTTCTTTATAAGGTGAATGATAATTATTTGAGGTGTTTTTTTACACCTATTACATAGGATATGTTGATTGTAGCATAACCACTTTTTGCCTTCAAAAATGTTTTAACAAAGATAAAAACATACATACAGGTCATGCTTTTCACAGCAGTATGTTTTTAAATTCTGTGTACTTGTTGATACGTCTTGCTAGTGTCGTTTCACTGCACTGTTAAACCACATGAATGCATTGCTTATATTAACAGATACAAAAATGATCCATGTAATCAAGTGATCAAGGAAATTCATCAGGTTTCACCAAAGTTCTGTACTTTTAATATAAGATATAAGGGTGTATATAGTAAATAAAAGACTGACTGAGTTCCCTAGAAACCTTAATTCTAGATAAGTAATATGTTTAAAAGTATACATTTGGATAGAACAATAAACATAGTAACACCACAAATTATTTGATGCATTAATTTTCATGACGCAGTCCTTTAAATATTAGAAAAGTCCCTTCCCTATGTGTTCCCGTCTGGGATGGGAAGGTTTAATCGTATGGTGTATAGAGGTTATGGGGTTACAGAGGTTATAGGGTGTAGGGTGGGACTCATTTCCTCTTGAGGTTGAGCATTGGCAGTTGGTTTATTCTGTGACAAATATGTATTATCATATGTAGTGCACCGGTACAAAGATTATACTGATAGTATTTATGATTGTAATAAGCCTGTCTTGGAAAAAAGACACTTAAAAAAAGAAATGTTAGTTAATTATGCCTCTGTGAGCTTGGTGTATGAACTTCAAAGCCATTTACCATCCTTATCGCAGCATAACATCAACTGTATCGCTGCATTAGCTAATCCAGGCAGGTGCCAAAAAAGACTTATTGCATGGGTGCATGTGAGATGTGTACACTCATACAATTTTGACATAGACAAAGATACAATATCAACAAAAATAACTTGCTTTTCAACAATTGTTCTGAAAACAAATTAATTAACTGAGAGAAGATCTTGTGAAAAAGTGCTACATTTTTGGGACGCCATCTGGAAATGTTGCAATAGATTATAACAATTCACGTTAATGCTGCAGTTCCCATATCCCCTTAGACCTAATATTAAAACATGCAAATTCATTTTTACTCTATAAATTCACACCAAGAAAAGGTGAAAATGTATTCAAAACTGCTCACAAGAGATTAACATGTTCCCCTGTTAACCTAACAATTGTAACACAAGTAGGGGGCCTCCTGCATTGGACTACTGGCAGTATACCTCTTGGATAGGTATACGTGGGCATTTTTAAGGGCTACCACCTATCATCTGAGCTAGAAAAATAGAGAAAGGGTGGAAGCATAATGTTGCAATAATTACAACAACAAAAAAGAAAATTGTTGTTAAAAAGGAGATGTTTTTCTATATTCTAGTTATCCTTGGCAGTATTTATTCTAAGATATGCCCAAGGTGCAGTGAAGTAAAGGTAGGAAAATGGAGATCCAGCAAGCAAACTACTGAAAAATCAGAAACATTTATTTGTGAATTAATATCAAGAATTTTGGACCAAAACTAGCATACTCTGCTGAAGATAAACCAACTTGTATGATAAAGGTGTTCAAATACATCTAATTAGTCACCTTACAAATGGTCTCTGTTGAAGACTAGTTCTGCTATTGTCAAAGTGGCGAAATATCTGGTGTAATGGCTCCATACAGACAGTAGCAAAATGGCCACAGTGACTTTCCGGTAGCAAAAAAGAATAAGGAAAATGTCCCTAAGGATATTTCCTACAAATGCACACACACATAATGGAAGAAGCAACATCCAGATTCTGTTATGAACATTCCTTATCCAAATGTCTAAGTAAATCGATAATAGAAATTTATTGATCGAAATGTTATAGATTGGGGAGAAAATAAATCAAAAATACTTGAACATCTATTAAGCAGAACATCTAGGGCTTGGAGCACATGCGGCAAAAAAACTAGAGGAATCGTAAATCTTAGAAGATGAAAAAATGAAGTACTGCAGCCAAAGCATGTATTCAAACCTGTCTGAAAGGAAGGTCAAGATTTTTTTTTGAATCCATTATAAAACAAATCTCACAATTTGTGTAATGTGCAAGAATATTTTTGGAACATCACAATGTATCCATCAATTCTGCCTATCTGTGGTGAAAAGGAAAACAAGAATGAAAGTAGAAGTGGGAGACTTTATTTAGGTCTTTTCAAGGGACTATTTCAAGGTTAAGACTCCAATATATATAATTTTAAGTTAAGTGGCAGTATTTGCAAAAATAAATATGTGCTAAATTTGTCATAAATTTGCTCTATTGATTAAGAATGGGGAAAAAAAATGGCTTTTCTTCCGACACTTAAAAATAACCAGTAATGTTCCTTCCTGCTGCTTTGTGGAATAACATTTTCTGAGCTTTAAAATGAGCGTGCTGTCATTCATACAGTGTATTACATTGTTAATTTTATTACCAGAAATGACAGTCTTCAGAGTTACAAAATTGCTAGATCCAAGAAAAACCTAGATACAGAAATCTTAGTATGTGCATCTCACTGAAAGCATTTTTCCTTGGGAAACTGAATTGTCAATCTCAAGTTTTCCGATGATCAATAAAATTAAGGCCCCAATAGCAGCCACATTGATTTCTCAAAACATATTATACATAATAACCAAATACAATTCATATTTAAAACCTGAGCTAAAACATATGTGTCTTACTGACAGATAAATTAAAATAAATAAATATACAAATATAATACCAGTGTGCTATACATATACGTACTGGTATGTACAATAGTAATATTATTATTGTGCTTGATTTACTATTCTAAAGATATTATTCTGGAATGTTGGAAAAGGTGAAAGCCTTTTTATTTATTTTTATATGTTTTCTAGCTGCTAGTCTTTTGTACCAATATAAAACAATTAGTAAAGCTGCCAACTCACACATCATGTAAAACATAATATTGTGAACTGTTGGGAACTAAAAGTGAATTTCAAAATTTAGGCCATAAGAACTGGAAACAAAATTCCATGTTAGTTATGTTTTAAATTGGTTATTTTAAACTATTTTTAAACTCACTTTGAATCCACTACAATTTATACTTAAGTGAATAACTCTGTATAATATGGTTTGTTTATGAAACTGTGAATTGTGTTGCATTAAAAACCAAATTCAAAATTCATGCACAAATTACCAAGGCCTTAATTTAATATTGTTGGATATGTTTTCTAAATTATTTAATATTTTTGGAGAAACATTTAAAATTATTTTATATTATGAAAAAAACATGTAATATTTTTCATAAATTGTTTTTTTTTAAATATGTTTTTTTATATCTTTATATGTTGAAAAATATAATTTTAAACGTTATCTTAAAATATTAAATAATTTGGCAAGCTTATCTAACAATATTAAAACAAGAGCCCAAGTTGGGAAAAGATGCACAAAAAGATAGGACATGTTTCCGCTGTTCCAATAGTGCCTAAATTTTCCAAAACATTTTTCAGTTCTCCATAATTCGCTATTTAGTGTATGGACCGTGCTTAGCAAATTATTGTGCTATTTTTCCATTAGTATATTTAACATTGAGGACAAAGTATTTTTTTTACCAAAAAGCTTATAATTAAAAAGGAACATTTCTTGTCCAAAATAAATGGATAAAAGAAAAAAATAGATTTAGTGGGTTATTTATTAAAGTGAGAATTCAAAGTGAATTTCAAATTTAAAATGAGAGTAGCTCAACTGAAAGCGTATTTAGTTTTAAATTTTGACCTTAAGAAATTCACTTTGCATTATCATTAGTGATGTCCCGAACTGTTCGCCGAACGGTTCGCCACGAACGGTTCACCGCGGACTCATCATTGAACTTCGGGACATCACTAATTCTCATTTTAGTAAACAACCCTGTTTAATATATTTACCTGTGTAATTTCAGGTGTAAATTTCTAAAGCTGTTATTTATTCTGTGTAGATTACATCCAGAAAGTTGATTGATTTGTTTTAAATGTAAACTATGTCAGAATGTCAATGTTTTGTTGAGCCTTCTGCAGATAAACTGTTTGAATAACATGATATTCCATTTATGTTATCGTTTGTCAAATAATAAAATTGTACTGGCTAAACCTCATTCTCACAAACCTTTCTTTTTTTTTAAACACTGTAATAATATTTTTTTTAGTTTGTTTGTGTTGTTTGATTGGCTTTGACCAGAGGATATCGATTGTCCTTTTGCACCAAGACATCATCTTCAAATTCTATGTCTTTCATGATAATGTATCAGCAAACAGTACATGTTTCAAATCATACTTCTTTCTCACATGAGGACCAGTTCACGAGTCTCTGGAAGTCGTAGGGATAGAAGGCCACCTCCTACAAGGGCAGTAGATGCCAAGAGAATGGGAACAACTTTTGTGATGCCAACAAAAGAAGCAAAGATCGAGTTTCCAAAGATGGCGGCAAGCTTGCAAATGCCATTCAGGATTCCAAATGCTGTTGCTCTGTAAAAGAATAATTAAAATATTGTTAAATTTTGGATTCTCTACTTCAAGGTAGAAGTAAAAGACGAAAAAGATGAAATCCAAGGTAAGACTTGCTCATCGTCATTCTTTGATTGACTATGTTAAGTATCATAAAAAAGAATAATTGTGTCTTTTTGCTCAAAACCTAAATGTGCCCTAAATGTATTGTCATATAAATACATAAAAAAATTGATCATTAGTTAATTTACTGGTAATACCTTTTATTTGTAGGGTAAAGTTCGACAGTGATAACATCCAAAGCATTCCATGCTGCTATACTGGTGCCAGAAAAGAGGCATTGCCAACCAATCATTGCAGACTCGCTGTTCCCAAAAAACAGGAAAAAACAGCAAACAGCTGAGACCAGCATGGAGCCACCTATAAGTAGGACACAAGAGAAACACCACATATGACACTTAGATACAAGCATACAACATATACACATCATGGTAAATATAAAAATATTGCATCATGTTTTATTGAGATTTAGTGCAAACTAGGGCAATGATGTACTGAAAAGCAATTTGTTTACTCTTTGTTTGAAAGAAAGCATTACAAGGTCAAATTATTACACCGTCCTAACCTATATGTTATATACAATTCCATTTTCCATAAGAACTTATATTCTACAACTGGAATTGACACAGAAGTCATGGGACCCAGCAGGAGCGCACCATTTGTTTACATGGTGTTTGCTCCACTTTTAGAACATTTCCCCATTTAGTAACAATTAATGACAAGATTAACAAATCTTCAAACAAAATAGATAGATTGTCAAATATAGCTATCATTGGCACACATCTAATAAGGAAATAAAGTCAAATAACTGACTGAAGCAGAAACAGAATTTCTGGATTAGTAGTAAGGTCCACCATCAGGGAGATACAGCCAGAACAAGGGATACGGGGTCCGAACCTCCCCAGGGGGAGTTGTGCCTGGGCCCTACACTTCCAATGTGCATATATACAATGAGTACCATGATATATATGCACTTGCAGGTCTTTGCTATGTAGTATAATGAAGAGGGAGCCCATGAGATGCCAAGTTACCCCTCCGGCAGTGTCCACTCGTGAGCCATGGCTGTCAGGTTGCCATGACAATGCTCCATACAGCATGCAATGCATGCTGGGCTCGTAAGAGAAGGAAAAGGCCTGCTGCCTAGTTGGAGGTGGAAGATGGAGTCTGCTGGGTCCCCTCATCTTCTATACAAGTATGCTGTGTCACTGGACCACCAGGGAATCTAGTGCCCCCCCTCTCATGCCACAGTAAGAGGTATGGTGGGGGCAATAAGCTTGATTATAATTTAATAAAATCTGCACAGACCCACAATGGTCACTATCCTACCCCACAAACACAGACACTCCACTCACTGCAAACACTGCATCCACGAAACTCACTGCATCCACTACACACACTGCATTCACTAAAGAGACACTGGATCTCATACACAAACAATGCATCCCCTACACAAACACAAACACTGCATCCACTACACAAAGACACTGCATCCACTACACAAACTCTGTATCCACTACACAATAACACTACATCATCTACACACATACACTGCATCCATTACCCAATCACACTGCATGCAGAATACAAATACGATACCCACTTCACACACACACTGCATACACTACACACACTACATCCAGTACACACACTGCATCTACTACACACACAAACTGCATACACTACACTCACTACATCCACTACACACACACAATAAACGCTCACTCTGCGTCCACTATATACACATATGCTGCATCCACTATACACACAGTGTATTCACTTTATTCATCCTGGTTGGAACAGACTCAGAGCGTGGACCCTATGGGAGGATTCCGGGCAAATCCTGGGGGCCCAAGTCTTGAACTGTGTAAGTGGCCCCAAAATGTCTGATGGCAGCCCTGTTAGCAGGTTAGAGCAAGGTCGCAAGTTCATATGGGAAATGTAGTTCCAGCTAAAGCACTACATCTAGAGTATGCAGCACTCAATAAATGTGCATTATGGAAAGAAAACTCTTCTGAATCACCCTCTTCTGTCTCACCTACACAAGTTGCAAACACTAGGAATTCTTGGTACTCACCAATCATTCTTATCCTTCCAATTTTGTCCATTAGAAGAGCTGAGATGATATTACCAGGTAATACTGACAAACTTCCAAGAAAACTGACCAAGTAAATCAGGAAATCATTATCTTCTTCAAAGTCAATGTGACATCCTTCTTTTGTGTTATAGAAAGAGCTGTTTATAAATTTGCAGTCAATAAACTTGTGTTTGAGGTCTAAATGAGGAGAGCATGATACATGTTAAAAATCGGTAAGGCACTTCTTTATAGATCCAGAAACAAATGCTCTGTTAGAGTATTTTAAAATAATAAAATTGTCTATTTTGTTATCATAGGAATATAATCATGCCCTGAGGAAGTCCCTGAGTGGGATGAAACGCGTTGGATACATTTTATCTGTACTTGATGTCGACTGATTTTTACTTCTGTGAGGGGGGATTTAACTATAAATAGGACAATTACAAAAAACTTACAGGAACGATAGGTTGGAGAGGACCCTGCTCAAACGAGCTTACATTCTATACTAAAGACAAATGCGGTCTAGATTCGGCCGGTCCAACCAAATCGGTATCATTCGTTCAGAAGTGTTTAGAAATTCACTAATATCAGCATGTGAACCAATTTAAAGGACAGGAATCAGAGATTTATCAACAACTGCATGTCAACCAAAGATAAACTGAATGCCTCTGGCAGGAAGCACATTGACAAATTATCATTAACTTGCTTTTTGCAAGTGAATTGATCATTTGAAGTACTATTAGTCCGCTGTCAGCGCTAGCAAATAGTTATAAACAATTGGCAGCGCAAGGGTTAATTATGTGGCTAAGTGAAAATAAATTATTAAATCAAGAAATAAAACTCCTATGGTGGTTAAAGGGATACTATAGGCACCATGACCAATTAACTTCATTAATTTAGTTGAAGTGGTCAGAGTGCAGTGTCCCTTTCCCCCTTAGTCCCTTAATGTAGAACATTGCACTTTGAGAAACTAGTACTAATATTGCCTCTAGTGGTTGTCTACCTGACAGCCACTAGAGGCTGTTCCTGAAGTTTCACAGATGATGCTGGATGTCCTCACACTGCATTAGGGCATCCAGCATTAGGGAAAACCAATGCTGAGGCAATGCTTTCCTATGGAAAGGCCTAATGCGCACGCAGCACTTGCCGCACATGAGTGTTAGGTCCCAAAACCGGGTGACATCACAGGCGACGGACCGCGACAAAGCGCTGGAATCCGGTAAGTGAATAAAGGGTTATTTAACCCTTTATCTGCTATGGGGGGCACGAAGGTCGGAGATAGAAGGCACTATAGTGTTAGGAACACAGCTTTGTATTCCTAATACTATAGTTTTTCTTTAATACGACTACCATATTGCTATAATGGAGGTATTGTACCTCCATACGCCACACACCTGCCATGAACTAGAAGAGGCTACATACCATTGGGTGAGGGCTACTCTAAATATTGATTGGGAGGACCTAGTGCCCCCTTTAATAATAAGGTGAGGGCTCTAATATTAATAATAAAGGGGAGTGAACCTAGGGTTCCTCCATGGCCTCCACCCATGAGCTATTTTATAATTATATAGGGGGGATCAACATGCCATTGCCCACCCCTCCAAATAATAGCATGTCCTCCCTACCTCCTGAGCTTTCCTATGCTAGTAAAGCAGAGGGAAATTTCCCATGCTTTGCATTATGACAAAGAATTTTCAGATTAGTTGGCTAGTAAGCCAACCAGAGAGCTCGGACAGCCAAGTCTCGAGACAAGTCCATTTGGGGCCTGATTACAAAATTCAAACATTGTTGAATTCTATCAATAATATCTGTCTTTTGCTGTCTGAATGGCCTTGTACAGCAGCAAATGGTTTTGCCCCAGTTGGTACGGGGCCATTTGGACTTTAGTGAATAACCCTGTTAATAACACATTACATGCCTGAACCCCAGGACCCATAATGACATTACATGCAGGTCTAATTACACTTAGTTATTTTAATTCATCACTGTAACTTTAAGGTACTGACTGACACATGAAAGATAATGTACACATTATACATTCTACCTTTGTTAGCATATTGTCCTTTAGTAACTGGAACAATGTTACAATTCATACCTGTAGTTTACTGCTGTAAAATTTGTATTATTTCATTTGAATGTATTTCTCCAAAAGTCCGTGTACATATTGTTATTGATATTTTGGCTGATAGAATCGGTTGGCAAATATTTAAAGGAGCACTATAGGGTCAGGAACACAAACATGTATTCCTGACCCTAGAGGGTTAAAACCACTATCTAGCCCCTTGGCTACCATTGCCTCCATAAAAATAGCAAAATCTTGCTTGTATTCAAGTCTGGAGCTGCTAGCTCTGGCTCTGTTTCCTTTAGACCTGCCCACTGCCTGCTGACATCAGCCTAAGTGGTAGCCTGACCCAATCACAATGATTGCCCATAGGATTGACTGAGACTGACAAAGAGGCAGGTCAGGGGCAGAGCCAGCATGATTCAAACACAGCCCTGGCCAATCAGCATCTCCTCATAGAGATGAATTGAATTAATGAATCTCTATGAGGAAAGTTCAGTGTCTGCATGCAGAGGGAGGAGACACTGAATGTTTGGATGCATTTTAGGCCGCCATGGCCCAGGAAGGATCTCTAACAGCCACCTGAGGAGTGGCCAGTGAAGTTATCACTAGGCTGTAATGTAAACACTGCATTTTCTCTGAAAAGACGGTGTTTACAGCAAAAAGCCTGAAGGTAATGATTCTACTTAGCAGAACAAACTCAATAAGCTGTAGTTGTTCTGGTGACTATAGTGTCCCTTTAAATTGTATACAACCAAAGTTTGCTCTCCCCCTTCCCCCTCTATTCCTTAGCAAATCCCTTCAAATAACTGTATCTATCTCTATTCTAGAAACTAAGCCACTTCATTTCGTCTAAGCACTATCCCTTCTAACTTTATGGCATGCTATTCCAGCTCTCTACTATCACACTCTGTTAACCCCTTATTTCCTTTACATGTTGAGTGGCTGCAAATATCCTTTTAACTCTCTCTGGCCATCATTTCCCAATTCTCTCTCTTTTTTCTAATTTAGATTGTAAGCTCACTGATATTCTAGCAAAGTACTCTGCATAAAAAAACTTCAATGGCTAGATCTCAACTCACGGGCAGTGTCCTCTTTACCTTTGTATTGCTCTATTTATATTTTTAAAATTTTTACAACTATATGTTTCCCAATTTGTACAATGCTGCAGAATATGTTAGCAATGCCAGTAAAAATAGCAATATATAACACACAAACACTATAGATTACAGGGCACACATTTACAAGAAAACATTTTGCGTATATCATTATTTTCCACAAAGTCCAGGTCGCAGTAAGAGAAGGTATTAATTTCTGCAATTCAGTAGGAGAATGAGTGAATATGTTTCAACAATCTGTCAATAGTATTACCTGTGTTATAGAAAACTGTAGACGTAATAATGCAGTTTTTAAAATACGTTCCTCTGGAGGTCACATCTTCAAAATAACATTCGTCAAATTCAGAGTCCTCAAATGTCACATGTTTAAATTTCATATTGACAAACCTGGAAAATACAATTTGAAAGAGTTAGACTATAAGACGGACTTAACATCGCCCAAACATTCTACACATTCTAAATTGAAGGAATAACAGATTATTTTTCATTATTGTTTAATTTAAAATTTTACTTTTTGTATACTAGTTCACTACAACAGTGGCGGCTCTAGACTTTGTGAGGCCTTAGGCAAAGCTCAAACATGAGGCCCCCACTAACACCCAAAGAGACAAAATAAATAGGGGTTGCATTGTCTGTCTAAAGTGCTGTAGTTAAATTGAAGGACGGACTTGCAGTGCTGGATACAGAAAGCTAGTCTCAGAGGCTTGCAGTGTTGCGGCTCCCTGTGCCGCTGTGATGTGAGCTCTCGGACTGAAGTTATGACATAATTTGCACACTTAATTTGCAATAAATAAATGCATTTAGCAAGTATGCTAATTGTTTATACACGGCTGCAGGGTATGGTTACATAGCTTTGCAGTCGTGTATAAGTAAGTGCTGATGTGTACATTTCTGAGTGTGTCTGGCATTGTCTACGTGTGCATGTGCCTGAAAGTGTGTGTAAAAGAGAGTATCCGAGAGTGTGAATGTATGTCTTTGTGAGCATGTGTGTGGGACCATATACGTGTGTGGGGTAGTTGCTTGCGGTGTGTTTTGTTTTGGGGGGCTGCCTGTGGCCTTTGTGCATTGTGTTATGGCAAAGCTATGTTTCATGACTGTGTTTGTCTATGATGAATGACTTCAGTTAGTGGCTGTGACTGGGTGAGTAAAGGGGTAACTATGGCAGGGTGAGTGTGACAGAGTGAGGGGGAGCTGTGAGGCTGTTGACAGGGTGTGTGGCATGCTGTGGCAGGTTAAGGTGGGGTCGTGACAGGGTTAGGGTGGGCTGTGACAGGGTAATGGGGGGCTGTGACAGGGTTAGGGGACTGTGGCAGGGTAGGGGGGCTGTGGCAGTGTAGAGGCAGATGTGGCAGGGTGGGATGGGCTGTGAAAGTGTAGATGGGGGTTGTGGCAGGGTAGGGGGGCTGTGAAGAAAAGGGGCTGTGGAAGGTAGGGGCTGTGGCAGGGTAGGGGGGCTGTGACAGGGTAAAGCGGCTGTGACAGGGGTGAGGGGTGGCAGGGGAGAATAGGCAATGTAGAGGGGGGTGGCAGGTAGAGGGGATGTGGCAGGGTGGGATGGACTGTGACAGTGTAGAGGGGGTTATGGCAGGGGTAGGGGGCTGTAGAAGGAAGGAAGGGGGCTGTGACAGGCAGGGGGCTGTGGCAGGGGGGAGAATAGGCAGTGGCAATGTAGAGGGGGCTGTGGCAGTGTAGTGGGGCTTTGCAGGGTAGGGGTGGCTGTGAAAGGGGAGGGGGATCAGTGACAGGATAGAGGGGGGCAGTGACAGGGTACAGTGACAGGATGGGGGCTGTGGCAGGATAGGGGCTGTGGCAGGGGGGGGCTGTGGCAGGGTAGGGGGCTGTGGCAGGATGAGGGCTGTGACAATGTAGAGGGGGCTGTGACACAGGTAAGGGGGCTGTAACAGGGTAAGGGGGGGCAGGGGAGGACAAGTAGTGACAGGGTAGGGGCTGAGGCAGGATGGGGGCTGTGACAATGTAGAGGGGGGCTGTGACAGGGTAAGGGGGCTGTGGCATGGTAGAGGGGCTTTGGCAGGGTAGGGGTGGCTGTGGCAAGGGAGGGGGGGCAGTGACAGGGTAGAGGGGGGCAGTGACAAGGTAGTGGGGTCTGTGGTAAAGTAAGGAGGGCTGTGGCATGGGTAGGGGGTCTGTAGCAGGAAGGGGGCAGTGACAGGATAGAGGGGGCAATGACAGGGCATGGGTAAACAGTGTGGGCAGGGTCATAAATACCTTCTTTTCAATTTTTTTTTATTATTAATGATCCCCTGGTGGTCTAGTGTCTCACTCCCTGGTGGTCCGGTGGGCTGTCTCTCTCCATGGTGGTCCGGTGGGCTGGCTCTCCATGGTGGTCCGGTGGGCTCCCTTTCTGGTCTGCAGCTCCGCTGGGTGTAAAACTGCAGACCACATGGTAAGTCTCGCGAGATCAGGCCAGTCAGAGCGTTGCTGTGGTAACCCGCGGCAACACTCTGATTGTCTGAGATCGCTAGACACCTCAATCTGCAGCTCACTCCTGGCAAAGCTGCAGACCGGGGACTGGCTCTCCATCAGGGCAGACGGTATGGAGGGGCCTTGCACCCGGCGGTACACAGGGCAAGCAGCCAAACCCCCTCCTATGTCGGGCCCTCGGTCATGGACCAAAGACCCTACATGTAAGTCTATTTTAAGGTGATTTAGGCAGCCACAAGACCCCAGCCAGCACAAGGCCTTAGGCGGCCCCCTAAATCACATCTGCACTATAACTTCACTCTTGGAAGAGTAAAAAGCAGAGCACCAGGATGATTTTTTATCTTGTAGTACGGTTAAGGCAGGTTCAATATAGTGACACTTGCACCTTAGAAGTCAGTAATGCTTTTGAAAAGTCTTTTGGTGAGCCCATTACAGTTGCAATCACATGAATGTGAAGTGAGAACAGAATATAACAAACATTATTCAATGCAGTGTGTAGCGGATCCCTGGGTAACCTGACCGGTTACCGCCGCTAAAGGGAGGCTGGGAGGAAGTAAAAGATACACAAAGGGGGTTGTAAGAGACACACAAGGTGAGTGTAAGACATACAAGAGGGGTGAAAGATACACAAGAGAGGTATATGACACACACAAGGGAAAAATTGGAGATAAGATACACTAAAACAGGTAAGACAGGGGGTAAGACGTCTTATTAAAAGGGCACTATAGTCACCAGAACCACTACAGTTTAATGTAGTCCCTGCAGGCTGAGCACTGTAAACGCTACATTTACATAATTGTCTAGTAACACCTTTAGATGCAGTCACTAAGACAGCCACTAGAGGTGCTTCCTAGTCCAGTGCTGTTCAGTGTAGCACCTACATTCAGCGCTTCCACATTCAGCTGAACACTCCCCAAAGAGATTAATTTATTCAATGCATCTCTATATGTGGAGATGCTGATTGGCGCAGCTTTTTGCCACACGTGCGCAATTGCCTCCCAATGCTTTTTTTATGTGAAAGCACTGGATTTGCTGAGATCATCAAGTTTGATGATCACAGCCAAAGTGAAGACCACACTTATAGGATTTCAAAATAAACAAGACAACATTGTTTACATTCTCTATTTCAGTTCCATTACCAAACGTTTCTTAAAGGACCACTATAGTGCCAGGAAAACATACTCGTTTTCCTGGCACTATAGTGCCTTGATGGTGCCCCCACCCTCAGGGACCCCCTCCCGCCCGGCTCTGGAAAGGGGAAAGGGGTTAAAACTTACCTTTTTCCAGCGCTGGGCGGGGAGCTCTCTGCCTCCTCTCCTCCTCCGATCCTCCTCCTGGGCTGACAAGACGCTGCAAGAGCGCCAGATTCAGCCTGTCGGCCCTATGGAGAAGATCTAGCGCCTCTAGTGGCTGTCAATGAGACAGCCACTAGAGGAAATAGGGGAAGGCTTAACCCATTCATAAACATAGCAGTTTCTCTGAAACTGCTATGTTTATAAAAAAATGGGTTAACCCTAGCTGGACCTGGCACCCAGACCACTTCATTAAGCTGAAGTGGTCTGGGTGCCTAGAGTGGTCCTTTAATATATCAAGGTAGTTGGACTGAAATATTGATTATATGTAAATTCACCTCTGCTTAAAATAAATCCGCTATTTTGTTTATTTTGAAGCCATATGAGTGCTTTCTTTCACGCTGGAGTAACAGTTAGCGGTTTCACCTCTATAGCTGCACGCTATGCTGGCACAACGCATTATTGGGCAGGTATAGAATTTTTTCCAGGTATGATTTTCATTCCCAGTCTGGTCCTGATCTAATGTGACTTGAATTGATATATATATATATATATATATATATATATGCTTTTTTCATTAATAAAATGTTATTTTTTATTTCTGCTACACTTCAATAGGTATCTACTTTGGCAAACCATGCATTAAAGAACAACTCCAGGAAGAAAATTAGCATCTGCCCATTTTTAATTAAATACAAAATATATTTCACCTCCAGCTGAAAAATTATTTAATTTAAAAAAAAAAAACCTTTGTGGTTTGCTCTAATAAAGCGAAATTAATGGAGCTGACTTTTTGTAAAACGGGTAATATCATTTGGATTGTAAATGGATATTCTGCAGCAGAAGGTGGTCATCAAGAAGAGAATAGATCTCTAAATTCTAATTAGCTTTCAATTGTTAATAGACTGTAATTTGAGATCTCGATAGTTTAAAGATGCTATCAGCAAAGTTTAGGAGTGTAATAAAAAAAAAAGCCATTCACATCTAACAGCAACAGAATTCTATAGTTTACGGAAAATATCTTTACGTTTATAAAATTTAAAAACAAGGCTTCAACCTAATTTAAAGGAACATTCTAAGCACCACAGTGGGCTGAAGTGGCTATGGTGCTAGGAATGGCCTGGCACCCTCCCAGAGTAATTTGTCAAACTGTTTTAGAATGGCTTGACAACTTACCTGCGTCCCACCGGGTGTCCACTGATGCACATACTTCCATTCGGCTAAGCATGACTGTGAGGGCCACTATTATTGGCTGAAAGCATCAGCTATGTGCTCTCAGCTGATGAGTGCAGTCTTATACTAAGCCATGCTTAGTTCATTGAAGACATCCAGCTTCTCTTTGCAAGAGAAGATGGATGTGGCACAGGAGCACATGGGACTTCTAAATCAATTTGACACATTACACTGGGAAGTCTTTTAGGTAGGTAGTAGTCAGGGCTCAAGTCCTGCAGGAGCATGTGGAAACAATGTTCCTGTACCTTTTTACCCAACAAAAACATCATATCCATTCCCACAGGGCTGCACCAGCCCAGATAGGGTTCTCTGCCCCTTAAAGGGCCAGTGGCGAGATCAAAGCCCACCAAACTGTCTATGTCTGCCCTGTACCTCTATATGTTGCAAGCTCTGGCACTGGCAGTGTCCGAACATTGCCATGGTAAATCCCAGCAACACAGTAAGTGTAACTGCTGTAGCTCCAAGAGAGATAATTGTCCAGGGAAGACATAGACTTCCCAGCTACTCTGTCTGTCCTGTACCTGGAGGCTATGCAGCCTACTTGACCACCAGAGAGCTTAATGCCTCCCCTTCTTGCATGATGAGAATAGGGAGAAGTGACATATTTTAGAAAAATAATATTCATATAAAAATATTACCACCCCTATCCGACTCCCTACACTCCCACATTGTACACCCCCACAAACACAGTACACCACACACATAGTGCACCCCACTCACACATAGCACACACACACACCTCATATACACAGTGCACCCATCCACACACACAGTACACCCACACAATATACAAACAGCCCTGGGGGTGATGAGTCACACAGACTATAGCTTCTATACACATGCATACACTGTACAGCTCCTAGATACATACACAATGCAACCCCAATACACACGTATACAGCAGCCCCTAAATACACACACACTATAGCTTCTAAATACACACACACAATGTAACTTAAATATACATACACTCACACACTGAAGCCCCTAGATACACTTGCACACACTGTAAAGGTCCTAAATACAGAAGCTACAGCCCTTGCCAACACAAAAAGTCTCTACAGGAACCAGATTTTACAATCTGGGCTATTTGTCTTGCATTCTGAGATTTGAACTAAACATACAATTGGTGCAATAACTCATAACACCGTTTAAAGAAAGTATGCACAAAGATTGTATTACAGATTAAAAACACTGTGTTCTCTTACAACTATGCAGAAGTTAATTCAATAAGCTTGTATTCCTATTAACACTTTGATTCACATCTAGTGTTGCCGTCTCAAAAAAGTCACCACCAGGTGTCAGTATGTCTTTATTAATAAACATTTAACTTGGTGAGACAAAACGCCATAAAACTCCTCACAGTGCGAATCGAAAAATGTTTTATACATCTCCAAGTCCAACTTGAGGCCTACAGATGATGCATAATAATGTTAAAGTATACAGTAAATACAAATCGGAAAAGGGTTTACATAACTACTAATGTAAGTCCCACAATTGTAGTCCTCTAGCAAATTGAATATTTATATAATATTTTACGATTAAAAATTATAACATGCTTACTTATCATTCTCGAAGTTTCCATCTTTGTGTATTTGATTCTCGAGAGTGAAATTGAATTCAAAATTTTTCACTTTCTCGCCATGGAATACTTTCAATTTGCTTGCGTAGGCTTCCTCTTGAAGGTAACGTATAGTGTCAGGGAACCAGACAGTAAGACCATAGTAGCTGTAGGTTAACAGAAAAACAGAACTTATCAAGACAAAACATGCTATTTTGGGTGAAAAGTGCTAAATGTTTAGAGGCATTTCATTATTTTCAATGGCGATTACTTCTTTTTTAGCACCTTACACTAGAATAACATTCATTTTTGCCTTAATAAATCTAGCCAAATTTGTTTTCAACCATTCTGAAATTAGGATGACAGTAATTGTAATTCAATGAAATAAAGTAATGTTACCTTAATGACATTGTAAACCAAACCACAGCCAGAAATATAGTGTTCTTTCTAAATTGACCACTGAAGCAATACAATATGTTCTCCCATACCTAAAAGAAAAAACAAAATGTCAAGAGGTGTACAATAATGTATTTGTGTATAAAGAAGTATAAATAAAGTGTACTCAGTGATTTGGCGTATAGCAGAGAACACCATATTGGTTTGCTTTCAATACATAGAACATTTTGGCTCACTTACAGTGTATATAAAAAGTCTTTGCCCCCTATGAATTTGCAGATTTTTGAAAAGTAAAGAGAGAAATAATGACAATATAACAATGTCAGACTTTTTCTTTCTGTAATGTGATCTTCCAACAAACAAAAATATAGTGAAAAAACAAATAGTTATCTTTGCACAGCTAGACTTTGTACTTCTATCTCAATCTTCTTTGCAAAAAAGTTCCTTTAAATTGCAAGTACAGCTCTCTTTAGGTCATTCCATAGGTTTTTGATGAGATTCGTGCCCATGCCTACTTGGGCCATTTCAAGCGTTTGATTTTACTTTTCTGAAGTTATGCCTTCCTCAACCTATGTATGTTTTAGGTAATTGTCATGTTGAAATGTAAAATTCCTCTTAATTTTCAACTCTCTAACATGTTTTGTTGCATCATATCTTGATATTTGGAGCTATTCATTATCTTGACAAGAGCCCCTGACCCCTCATAGCATGATGCTACCACCTCAATGCTTCAAAGTCGATATGTTTTATTTTTTGGATGATAAGCTGTATTGACTTTGTGCCAAATATGCAGATATCTTTTACATTTTCAGTTTTTGTTTTGTCTGATCATGGCACATTTTCGTACATGGTTTGGGGTAACATCGATGTTGCTTTTTTTAAGAAGGGGGTTTCCATTGTGCCACCATAGTCCATAACCTAGACATGTGCAGATTGGTGATCACATGCAACTAGTGATTGAAATGACCTGTCTGAATTTGCTGTAGCTCCTTCACTGTTACTGTTGGACTCTTGGTGTCCTCTCATCAACTTTGAAGTGTCAGCCTAATCTTTGTAATGTCCCTGTGGTCCCACATCTCCTCCACTTATTAATGTGGCTATGGCAGTGCTCCATAGTACATCAATTGCCTTCAATAGTGTTTTATATATTACTCTTCTAAAAAAAATTCCTACATTTTCTCCTAAATTGCTACTTTTCAGCAATTAGCTGTTGCAATTTATTTGTCAATTCTTTGTGGACCATGGCTCTCCCAGTAGAGTGCAACCCCAAACATTCAAGTAAATCCAACAGCAACAACTGACTTTCTGGGTTTAATCAGAATCACACTTATTTACCTACAGACATGTAATAGGTTAACTGTGAACACAGCTAGAGTCCTTGTTATGAAAGAGTGCGCAAATTAATGCAATCAAGGTGCTGTAATTTATTTCTATTTTTTTTTTTTTATTTAAAATGCTCCTAATTAATTACAGTATTTGTTTTTGGAATATCGCAATTACAGATGGCAAATTATGGACATTTACATGTTCGTATTCCAGTATTTACATTTAAAAACCTACAATTTTATAAGGGTGGGAAGACTTTCTATATCAACTATAACTACTAGGCATAGGGGCAATAGGGACTAACTACACCTATCTTTAATTCCCACATTAGAATAATCTGATTTTACCTTCTTAAAGTGTTAAGGAAATTATGTTATACGATATAAATGATTTACATCTATGAAAGAATACATAGCAGGAATAAGGAACTAACATTTTCCGATAAGAAAATGTAGCCATACTTACCGTAATTTTCTTTTCCTGGATATATCCCTAGCAGCATCACAATATGTGTTAGCTCAACCTACCTGGCTGTTTAGAACAAGAAATGCAAGCTATAAATACAATCTTACCAGATAGGGTCTCCAGTTTATGTTCTAAGCTTATAAAAATAACTAGAAGAGGGAAGCCATGCTCCCATGGATATATCCAAGAAAAGAGAATTATGGCAAGTGTGGCTATATTTTCCTTATTCCTGGATAATCCATGACAGCATCATAATAGGGTAATATCCACGCTAAACATCTGATGGGATGGAAATAAAACAAGCAACCACAAATTTGTGCAAAATCAGAAGAAAAGAACATTTCTGCACTATAGAATTTATAGAAGCTTTCCTAAATTGACAAAAAGGCTCTTCTCGGGGAGTATAGAAATCGTGATAAAGGTGACTATAAAACAAAATATCTCTCTCTCTCAACTATTCAGTTTTCTCGAAAAATGGCTAGACCAGGGTTGTGTAGACAGCAGGTTGTTAGATGCCACAGATCCACAACAGCCACGTTGATTGAAGGGTAAATACGTGTGATATTGTACTTGTGAGCTGATTAAAGCAACTGAAAGCTTTATTGGACAGAAATCAAAGCAACGAGAGACTTCTGACTAACAGCATTTTTTACATGGAAAAAACATTGGAAGAGATCAAACATCTTCAAGTTTGCTCATTTCTTGTAAAAAAAAAAAAGACAGAGAATAAGAAATGGTAAAAGAGACTAAAAAGTCAGTATGCTCAGCAGACAAAAAATGTTGTCGTATAATTTCAATAAAGATAGATGTATTTTGAAAGGTGTGCAGAGAAATTCTTCTTATATAACAGTGGCAGAAAATTGAGTTAAGAGGATGGATCCTAATTTTTCAGATTTTGGTCAATAGAAAATTGGTACTCTAATACCATCTTTGTTCTAGCTAGTCACTTCAATAGCTATTTGAAATGTGTTCTTTGTCAAACATATTCTGCGATCCTTAGTTCTACGTGTTGAATTAACAGAAAATATATATTTTTTTGTTTCCCAGAAGGTATGGAGTTCTGACAAAAGCCTCCATTTAATACGCTTTTTAAATAATTCAATACTGCTAAAAAAAAAAAAATCCAAATGATTTACCTAAAAAATTCCCATAGACTTTTAGAATGACTTCTGTAGATAAATCTCTACTTTTCTAATAGTTTTGAATCACTTGGAAATCTCATTAAGTCGAGGCCAGACATGCATTTCTCTCAAATGCAAAATGTTGGGACATGTTGTGGCAACAATTTCTTTTTTCAAATATAAGTGCATAATATAAGTGCTTGAGTTGTAGTCTTTCTATTTTATATTATATATCAAAACAAGCAGACTTTCTAAACTGCTTCATACCACTTTGGCTATACCTATAAGCCATTGGCTTCTTGCAGACAGGATTAGCCATAATAGAATTATGCTTTGAAACTGATGGATTATAATAGAGTTTCTTTCAGCAGGAGTCTTGTACTATTCAGCAGCTCCCCATTGAGAGATTTTATCCCATGCAGTCCGCTAAGCTGCCAAACTCAGCTTTGGGATGTCAGTCTTGATTTCCAAGCTATACTATTTGATATAATTCACTTTTTGATATAAATTGGTAGGCTAGCAGTGATCACAGTGAGATTTAGCATTTTATGCATGTGCAAGCACTTAAAGGAGCACTTTGGGCACCAATATTACTTAAAATGTCTCTGTCACTTTGCAGGTTTTGCTTTTCAATTGATAATTAATATTTATATTGCTGTCCCTCTATTTCTCCTTGGTTTCATTTTTTAAAATTCTCTTTAGTATTTTAGTTATACAAGTGAAAACATAAGGACTACTTTTTCCCATTGGGAGTGTAATCTTTGGCAATTTTAGCAATGGGCAAAGCTTTAGCAAAGTTCCATTTCAGTTGCTAAGCTAAATTACCCATCCATCAGTCAAAATACTCTCACAGAAGGGCAAACTGCTGACATCATGGACAGAAAAAACCAACATAATGAAGACAATATAGTATGTGTAAATAAAGGTAAGTGGCAATGGGGACAGTATAAAAATAAAGATACAAATGGCATAAGGAACGAAAACCTTAAAGAAAATAAAAAAAAATCACAGTGTCACTTTAAGTGAATTGCATATGTTTCTGCCTCTTATTTATGCTGTGCTTTCTCCCTGTTCAAATTACTTAGTTTACTTGATAATTAAAAAAAAATGAAATAATGTTTTATTGCTTTTTGCATGATATTCCCAACCTCTTAACCATGCCCCATTTTCACAAAATGTGAGCGGAAGGTAAACAGTGTAGCTCGCTTGACTCACGCAGCCAATCACTGTCCTCTTACTATCTGTATAATATTAAAGCCATGCTAAGATGAAAGTGGATAAATAATAAAATTACAGTGATTGTTTATAGCGCAGGGTCACATTAACTGCTCAGCTCACTCTGATTTCTCATTGACTGAGGCTGAGAACAATATTCAGAGTACATCTAGTATGCAGAGTGTGTGAAAGTAAGTTGCAAAATCTAATCTCATAAGAACTGAATGTGAAGAAAAACACAAATGCATTTGTGTTATTTCGATGCTGGAGTGTGACTTGAGGGTCCTTTTAAACAAGAAGTTTCACAGAGTTGCCAAAAGCCTTTCTCAGGCAGACCTGCACAGCACAGATTGTGACTCTTGAAGGACTAACAGTTTTTGTCTCTGTAAACTGGTAGAATAGTCCAAGGATGACTGATAGCCAATGTTCAAGAATCAGCACAAGCGATCAGTTCTTATAGCACAGAGAAAATCATATTGCATAGGATAGCTACACAAAGCAATTTAAGCAATCTGGGTAGGTGGTGACATGTCAAGGGTTAAAGACAATCCAGGTCGCTAGTATTGAGAGCAAAACACAAAGCAGAATCAAAAGAAAGATGGAATGACTGAGGAGCAGTGGAATGGTTCACAAAATTTGCTTGGTGTAATATTTCCCCTAGGAGTGCCGCCATTGCTTATCTTTTTTTACCTATCTCGTGGATGCTTATACTGTATGTAGTAAAGTTACTGGCAGCAGGTTTTTAGCTCCAGTTAGAGAGTTTAGATTCAAATTTAAATAATTAGTGGATCTGCAAATTTTCAACTAAGAAGAAAATCATTTTGCAGTAAAAACTATTTAAGTACTTGTTGATGCCACATTCATCGAAAAATATGTTTATGCCACCGTCTATGCAAACAATAATGCCCCAACAGATTTAAAGATAATTTTATAATCTAACTGGATTAGAAGAAGGAATGAGAATCTTCTATGATTAGTATCCATCTTACATTACAACAAGAAAAAAAATAATTGAACGGAAATGGTTGGAGTGATTTAAAACTACCCCTGCCTGAGTTCTTTACGCATCAAAATTACTAAAGTGTATTGTAGCATTTATGGTGCGGTGCCCCCACTTTTTGTCAATACATTTGGTGCACTAATGTTTTTGTACTATACTATTTCTTGGGTGATACAATATATACCTACATCTGAGAAGCTGTTTTTTCAAAACAATAGAGTTGATCCATACACATTTTATACTACCATTATTAATAAACTGTATTGTCACTTAAACCAATCTCTAAAGTCTTTATATGACATTGACTAATGCCTTATAATTGTGTCCCTTTTTGTTCCTTGCATTATGTTATCGTTGTGTCCCTGCATCCGGCTGCTGCGTATTGTTGCCAAGCCTTGCTTTCTAAAGGAATATTCCACTGCCCAAATACAAAACTAAATAAATAAAAATGGCTCTTTAGTACATATACACTCAATGGAAACATGCATGCATTTATTTACACATTTTTCATTGAAGGTATATCTAAAACATCTTTGCAAAGTCTGAAGACTTTGCAAGCCCTCCCCTTCTAACCCTCCGAGACTTTCTGTGGCTGTCCAATCACAGACTTCCCAATGCAGCTCAATGAAACATCTTTGCAAAGTAGGTGCTCTGGGAAATTGCCTGTCTCTTGAGTTTAGCTCTACTGAGTTAAGCAACCAGGAATTAACAGGAAAGGTTGTCTGATCGACAAGGTTTATTTAGAATAATGTCAAATAGTATTGAAATCTGCACTTTTTGTAAATGAAAAAAAGAGGACACACTTTTCTCACATAACGCATTTCATCAAGCTACTTATAAGCATGTAGTCCTACAACTGCAGTCTTGGAAATTTAAATATAAATATAAACCTAATGCATAGCTATGCTATGCTTATGAATTTCACTAAACATTTCCCATGCTATTTTTTATATTATGACCATTCAATCCAGAGTCCTATTCCTGTAAGGTGAGTGTTTTAGCTGCACTAAGACCCATAGAAATCACCAACTGAACCATGATCTGGAACAATACAAGTCTTTTTTTCAACATAGGCTAATATAAAATTGCTATACCTCTCTGGTACTGTATTTTCCATGTGTTGCCTATCTAGGTAATTGAAAATGGTTTGCTTATTATCATTCTTAAAACCCAGGGTAATACTTTCATTTTCTAAAACCTCAGTAAATTGAATTAATACATTTACTAACTTTACGTCAAAGTTCTAGAAGCATTTATAAGCTGTTTCAGGAACAACAAAGCTCAGATTATCGGGTGACTACTTCTTATACTGAACACAGATGGACAGAGAAGAATCAACAGCCGTTATAAAAATCGCAGACACAGTCATCAAACAGTAATATGCATCGATGTCGGGTATATATAGATGTATACATATCAAGGTAATCATCACAAAAATGTGGTCATCTTAGTTATGTCAGAGGCAAAGACTGAGGTGGGGGCAGAGGCAAAGACTGACAGCCATAGTTAGTTTTAGTATTCATGTCCACTGTTGTGATATTTATTATTAATTAACAAAACAAACAGTATTTACATCCAGCATCAAGTATCTTTGGGAATATTTGTTCAACAGCTATTCCACTGTAGAAGTCATTACACAACTTTATTTGTATCATCACTGAGCCGGACCACTAGGTTTAACCACAGCCATGACTCTTACAACTGTACCTGTTTGACAACAGCCATGACCCTCAATACTGTACCTGTTTAACAACTGTCATGATCCTGACAAGCCATCTCTGAAACCACGTTCCAGTTGAACTCTGAATTTCAATAAACTCATCCATTTGTTTTGGTGTTTTGATATGTGAAACCTGAAACACAAATGAAAACAGACACTTGATGTGAGTACCCCCATGTCTTTACTAGCCAATGTTTTAATCAATAAATAAAATCCAGTTATTCAATCAAAAATGGTGAACAGAACTGGACTCTGAAACAAGTGAAAGCTCTTCGAAAATCCACTGTTCTTAATGTAACGCTATTTTTTTGTTTTACCTAAATGATCTCCATATGAATTAGATTGGCTTTTTTATCATACAGTTGACTACTAATTATAATCTACTAATTTATATAGAGGTGACAAACATAACTATAATCAGGGAAGTTTTGAAAGTCACATTAATTTCTTACAGTGAAAACTTTTTCCGGTTCACCCTTTGCACGCATGTTGGTATCATGCATCTTTTTCAGTATCATCCAAGCTTCGTCGTGTTTACCTATCTGTGAAAAAATAGTAATTAGAGCATTAACTCATATACATGCATAAAACAAAAACTTTTTTGAAATAGGTGGTGTGACAAAATGCCTTTTGTCACTGGATTTTTATATGACCAACTGCCCTTTGCCCCTGGCTGTTGGAGGAGCCTGATTGCCAGCCTCCTCCCTCATGACTATGGCCCTGGGGTGTATTGTCATTTAAAATGACTATTTGGGGCTTATTGGCTTCTAAAAGACTGTTTCTGCCCATTTGAATCCATGGGAAGATGTGTCTCTTCCCCTCCCCTGTTTCCTGTCTATCGTTCCAGCAGGGTGTTGTCCCAGGCGTTGTCCCAGGCGTTGTCCCAGGCACACTGCCAGACCAGTGGAAGTGTCTGAGTGTATTGTACCTATTGATTGGTTGTTCTGCAAAACCCTGTGGGCAGTACTATGTTTGTAGAATGTGAATAAAAGAGGCTGTATGTGCCAGTACAGTCAGTTCTACTTCACCCTCAATCTGAGTCCTGTCTCTTATTGGGGGAATCTGCTACAAGGGATTGCTGTGCTTGTCATACTCCCTTGTTAAATCACTACTTAGCTCTTGCAAGAGCTTGTTCCTGCCTTGCTCTCTGGAGGAGTATACGGTGGTTATGGTGTCTGCTGCAGTGCTTGGAGACCTAAGGAAGGGCTAGGAGCATCCTTCAACGGAGGTACCCAGTTGGGGTGCCAGGTGATCCGTTACATGTGGAACAACTGATTATCCTCCCTATACTTTGTCTATATGGTTTCTATTTTTGAGCAATTCCATTGTTGCATGTGTAATATGGGCTATCCAGTATTAAACCAACATGAGAGCTCAGCAGTTTGTGCTCCACTGAAATCTATTTCCACCACGTTATGTGCATCAAAGTGCAGCAAGGTAATTTCTACTTTAAATCTTTCTGAGAATAATTAAACATAAATCACTGAGTTGGGTAACAGTAGTATATATTTCCCTTTTTGAATAATCTATGACAAATGTTCTTTGTGTCACCACATCTCTGTACAATCTGTTTGGCGTCACCCAAAAGCTGTATGAATTTGAATCATTGTTAAGCATCTATTTTTTAAGAGAAATATGTTTGTAATAAAATCACAAGCTTCTCACATCACTGGGATGAACTGAATATGCAATTCCTACTGGGTGAAAACTATGAGACAGCAGAAAAATTTGCAGAACAACAGAATGTTACAATATGTCACCCAAGGGAGAACAGATATAGCCCAGGTTCAATTATGAGCTAGAAATCAACTATTCCTATTTAAATATCATGCCCCAAGTGCGGGGAAAAGGATAAACAAGCTTTGGCAATATATATCAGTCATACATATATATATCATAATTACAGCATTAATGTGCTATAGAAACAAACACTACAGTTGCCATATACCACCTATACGTATTAACATATGAATATTCAGGCATTTCGCCTCTTTTTTGACGTTAAGTTGCAGTAAACCTAATAAAACTTTAAACATTACAGATGTGTCCCATAGATCATAACATTATCTGATAACACAGTAATTCAATACATAATTTTACCTCTAATAAGAAGCGTGGACTTTCTGGCATAAACTTTAGCGCAATGATAGATGCTATGCAGGGTAAGACACAAATTATGACGAAAACTCTCCAGCTGTGGAAATGATAGTGAGTTCCCATAGTAAATCCCCATCCTAAAACATAAATACATTTGTAAAACTATTAGAATATATTGATGTACATCAGTTGGTGATTCAATTCACTGATTTTACCGTTAAATGGATATTCAAAGCACCAAAACAATGTTTGGGTGTATAGGTCATGCCCCCTCAATACCACTGCTTAGTTCTCTGCCATTTAGGAGTCAAATCACTTTTGTTTCTGCTTATGCTGTGACTTAAACAGCTTCACAATTTTTTTTTTATTTTCAATCAGATATGAAAGCACAGTATGTTTACTTTAGAAGTTTGTATCTCCTGATCTGTTAATTGAACATTAATCACACACAGGAGGCTCATGCTTGCTCTAACAGGCTATTAACAGAGCAGATGATAAGAAATTCCAAATTACAGACTGTATTATACAGGAAGTTTAAACATTAGATCTTTTTACAGGAAATGTGTAGGAAGACTGTAGGTCAACTGCAGGCGAGGTGTGACTAGGGCTACATAAGCACAGTGATTTAACTTGTATATGGCAGAGACTTGAGTAGTGAGACTGCAGGGGCAAGACACCAAAACCACTGCATTAAGCTAAAGTTGTTTTGGTGCTTATAGTGTCCATTAAACTACAATAATTGTTTGCAAATTATGTCATAGATATTGGGAAAGAGATACATCTTGAGATATGTAATGATGAGTGAAACAGACAGACAGTCTTTTAAAGGGTTACAGTTCAAATAAATTGGCTTCTATGAGTAAAATTTGTAATATTGATGTAAAGGAAGGGCTTGAGTGTGCTATATTTGATAACCTTTATATACTGTATTTTATAAAGACTACATTTCCTGCAATAGTAACAAAGAAAGCCATAGGTTTAAAAAGCTGGATATGTGTGAATAATGATTCGGGAATACACTTGCTGGTACATTGTTAGGAAAATAAAATACTTTCAGGTTTTGTAGCAAAGTCCACAATAGCAGAAAAATCTATTCTTCGAAGAATTCTATTGGGTTTAAATTGTCAGCAGACAAAAGTATCTACCTTGTTCTTGCTACAGTGATTTACTATAATTTCCACCTCTAGCAATGCATTTAAGTGAAAATTGCTTCTTTTAGGGTGTCCCACATGCCCAGCAATAAGTCAGAGTAAGCATTTGCCTACTAGGATGGCAGGTGCCTACACTGTCAAAACTGTATAGGGGGAGGGGGCACAAAAACTGCCCAGTGATAAGTCTGAGTTGGCATCTGCCTACTAGGATGGCAGGTGCCTACACGATATGGGGGAGACGATCGAAAGGGAGAGGATACACTTCAGCTGTCCTAAATAAAGAAAGACAGGGTGCATATAAAAAAAAATCCCCCCAAAAAAAACACTTAATAAAAATAAGTTTAAGTGTCTTTTTGTGCCTGACCTTGTGTGTCTGAGTGTGTTTGTCTGACTATGTTCGTTAACATCTGTGTCAATGCTGGCATTGTACATGTGTCTGACAGTCGGATTCTATGTACGTGTGTCGAACAGAGTGTATGTGTGTAACATTGTATATCTGTGTGTGTGTCTGACATTGTGGATATTGTGTGAGTCCTGCATTGTGCATTTATGTGTATTTGTGGTAAAATACTTCTAGTTTGTGTATTTGTGTGTGTGTCCTGAGACCAAGACCTCTGACGGCCCCTCTGTGTGAGAATGAGCATGTATGTGAGAGAATGTGTGTGTGAGGTAGAATATTTTTATATATACATATTTTGGTGGGATAGGGGGCACTTCCCAAATTCACACACAGATATCCTGGGTACTGGGTAACTGTAGCGTTACTCACCTTATCCAGGGGCCGGCCGCGGTCCTCTCTTTGAGCCGCGCGGTCCTGCTGCTGCACGAGCCGCACGCGGCTCATCCGACAGCTTCACTAGAAAGGCGGGCAGTGACCGCGAGAAGCGGGCAGTGACCGCGAGAAGCGGTCACGTGTCCCGCCTGAATCTAAGAGCGCGCCGTGAGTCTCGGGCACGCTCTTAAAGAGACAGTGGGAGCCTAAATTGTTAAAAGGCTCCCATTGGCCCCTGTCATGCCACACTCCCCATACACTTACCTTTTGGGGGTGTGGATATGACAGGAGCCAATCACATTAGTTTAGAAGCTCTATATACTTACCTCTCCCTTTACTCCCTGCCCTATCGTGGTTTCTGTATCAGTTCCCTTTAGCGCTTGTTGTGTTCAGTTGTGTTTCTCCGTTTTGACTTTGGCTTTGTTTCTGACTACGTTTTCTCTTTATCCTTATCTGTTCTGGTTGTCGGCTTGCTGTTTACTGTGTACCAGACCCCGGCTTGTCCTAGTTTACGCTGTCTCTCTGTGCCCTTGACTTCGGATCGTTCCTGACTCTGCCTCCTCTCATATACGTCGAGTCCGGCCATTCTAAGGTCCGGTAGACGTATCTCTCCTCTGTGTTGTCTTCTGTTTAGCTGAATCCTGCGTGTTGGGGTATATTCACGTTACATTACGATAGGGCCGTGGACCCCGCAGATTTGGCTCAGCAAATGGCTTCTCACGAGGCAAGGTTTGTAGAACAGGATCACCGTATGGATCAGATAGCACAAGCTCTCCAGACGCTCTTGTCTAGAACTATTCCTGCAACCGCACCTAACCCTCCTACACCTCATCCTCCCGAAGTATCCAATTCACCCAATACTTCGCCCCATTTAACACCTCCTCCTAGGTATGGAGGGGAAGCCAAGACATGCAGAGGTTTTATTAATCAAATAGAATTCCACCTTGAGATGTATCCTCATTCCTTTCTCACTGATAGGTCTAAAGTGGGGTTTTTGTTGCATCAACTTACTGACAAAGCACTTGAGTGGGCAAATCCTATTTGGGAGGCCAATGGACCTATGGTGCATAATTTCAATAGCTTTCTTACGGCTTTTCGTAGAACTTTTGACACAACAAAAAGGTCAAAGAATGCCGCAAGAGCATTAATGAGAATTAAACAGGGGTCTAGGTCTGTGGCTGATTATGCTATTCAGTTTCGTACCCTTGCTTCACAGGTAGATTGGACCAATAATGGGTTAACTACTGCGTTCATGGAAGGTTTATCTGACACTATATTAGATGAGGTAGCGGCAAGGGAGCTTCCTATTCCATTAGAGGACCTTATTGACTACCTCATTGATATAGATAATAGGATTCGTGACAGGCTCTATACCAAGAACAGGAATAGACGTCTGGTCACATCTACTAACCCCAGAGTTGATAAACCTGAGAGTGTTAAAGTATCCGAGGAGGAACCCATGCAATTAGGGGTTGCCAAACTCTCGGATACTGAAAAACTACTTAGAACAAGGAACGGACTCTGCCTATACTGTGGTAGGCGAGACCATATGGTAAAGGAATGTCCTTTGCTTCCGGAAAACTCTTGCACCTAAGACCTTATAGGGGACTGGCCTTGGGTGTGATATCTAAGTCTCCTAAATTGCCTCCTAACCGTTTGCTTCTCCCTGTTTCCCTTCATACGGGAGAGAGTTGTATAGCTGAAAGCATACTAGCCTTGGTTGATTCCGGGGCTGCTGAGAACTTCATTGACTCTGAGTTTGTTACGAAAAATAACATTCCCGTCAGAGAAAGGGAGATACCCTTGGCCATTGGGGCCATAGATGGTATACCTTTAAATACTCCAGTCGTTACCCATGAAACTGTACCATTATTCATGTACACAGGGGTTTTACACCTTGAGACCATTCAGTTTCAGGTTATCACCTCTCCCTCTTCTCATATCGTGTTAGGGTACCCATGGTTATGTTCTCACAATTCCATTTTTGACTGGGAATTGGGACAATTAAAATCATGGGGTAAAACCTGCCACGACTTGTATGATCTTGTATGATTAAAGTCACCCCTCTAAATACCATTAATGTTCCTACTACTCCTCCTTTGTCTACTGTTATAGCTCCTCAATACTTGTTTCTCAAGACTGTATTCGATAAAAGGGAAGCTTATAAATTACCACCTCACAGATCCTATGATTGTGCTATCGATTTATTGCCTGGCACTATACCTCCTAAGGGCAGGGTGTACCCTTTATCTATTCAAGAAAACCGTATCATGGAGGAGTATGTTAAAGAATCACTAGAAAAGGGGTTCATTAGGAGATCCTCTTCTCCGGCTGGAGCAGGGTTTTTCTTCGTATCTAAGAAAGAGGGTGATTTAAGACCGTGCATCGATTATAGAGGTCTAAACAAAATCACTATCAAAAATGCATACCCTATACCTTTAATTACAGAGTTATTTGACAGGCTGAAACATGCTACTGTGTTCACCAAATTGGACCTTAGAGGTGCATACAATTTAATACGCATAAAGGAAGGTCACGAATGGAAGACTGCATTCAACACTAGATCCGGTCATTACGAGTATACTGTTATGCCATTTGGTCTTTGCAATGCCCCAGCAGTATTTCAGGAATTTATTAATGACGTCCTAAGAGACTTTATTCACACATTTGTAATTGTATACTTGGACGACATATTGATATATTCTACAGATTTACACACTCATCACAGACATGTCACAACGGTCTTGAAGACCCTTCTTAATAATGGTCTTTATTGTAAACTAGAAAAATGTTTATTTGACCAATCCGAAGTCCAGTTCTTGGGGTATTTGATTTCCGCCAAAGGGTTTTGTATGGATCCCCAGAAGCTTTCTGCTGTCATAGAGTGGCCTCTACCACAGGGTTTGAAAGCAATTCAACGTTTTCTTGGTTTCTCTAACTATTATAGACGCTTTATTAAGGGTTTTTCTTCTATTGTAGCACCTATCACCCGTATGACAAAAAAGGGTGGTAATACTCGTGTCTGGTCTCCCGAGGCACTTCAGGCTTTCGACTTTCTTAAAACTACATTCGCCTCTGCACCTATTTTACAGCACCCTATCCCCTCACTGCCTTATATTCTTGAAGTTGATGCTTCTGAAATCGGGGTAGGTGCTGTTTTGTCCCAAAGAGAATCGCCTGAAAAGCCATTGCATCCTTGTGGCTTCTTTTCTAAACAAATGTCAAAAGCTGAAAGGAATTATGATGTGGGTAATCGTGAACTCCTTGCTATTATCTTAGCTCTTAAAGAATGGAGACATCTGTTAGAAGGAACTAAGGATCCTATCCTCATTTTTACAGATCACAAGAATCTATCCTACCTTGGTGAAGCTAAAAGATTATCTTCTAGGCAGGCTAGATGGTCACTATTTTTGTCCCGTTTCAATTATATTATCACCTATAGGCCAGGTGATCGCAACATTAAAGGATCACTCTAGGCACCCAGACCACTTCAGCTTAATGAAGTGGTCTGGGTGCCTGGTCCTTCTAGGGTTAATCCATTTTTTAATAAACATAGCAGTTTCAGAGAAACTGCTATGTTTATCAATGGGTTAAGCCTTCCCTCTAATCCTCTAGTGGCTGTCTCATTGACAGCCACTAGAGGCGCTTGCGTGCTTCTCACTGTGATTTTCATAGTGAGAGCACGCCAGCGTCCATAGGAAAGCATTGTAAATGCTTTCCTATGCGACCGGCTGAATGCGCGCGCAGCTCTTGCCACGCGTGCGCATTCAGCCGCATGGGAGGAGAAGAGGAGGATCGGAGGAGGAGAGCTCCCCGCCCAGCGCTGGAAAAAGGTAAGTTTTCCAGAGCCGGGCGGGAGGGGATCCCTGAGGGTGGGGGCACCCTCAGGGCACTATAGTGCCAGGAAAATGAGTATGTTTTCCTGGCACTATAGTGGTCCTTTAAAGCAGATGCTCTGTCTAGACAGTTCGAAACTACTGACAAACAGGAGGTTGATGTTACTCCTGTCATTCCCCCAGACAGGATAATAGCCACTACTATGTTGTCTATTTCTTCATCCCTCTTGCAGACCATACAGGCAAAACAAAGTATGGCACCTAGTAGAGGCCTATTGATAAATTGTTTGTTGATGTTCCCGAGAGACGGGAGATTCTGTCATTATATCATGATACTAAGACTGCTGGACATCCTGGTATTACCAAAACGATGTCAGCAGTTTCTCGATATTTTTGGTGGGGTTCCTTACGCAAGGATGTCACTGACTATAAAAGTGCTTGTACTACTTGTGCATGTATGAAAACGTCTCGTAGAGTTCCTTGTGGGCTTCTGCATCCCTGTAGAATATTGCATATTCTATGTTTCTATTGATTATATATATGGATGTGTGGATTGACATAAGTAACAGATGGTATCAATAAGTCACAAGGCTTTCTTTGTCCGAGAGCTCTGGAATGTGGATTCGGGGGTCTTGTCCTTATATGGCTAGAGGTAAACGCTGACGTTAGTATTAGCACATCTATATAGTAACAGAGGGACACGAGGTCGCTCTCTGTCTTGGCTTGGCTCTTGGCTCTGTACAACGATGTAACTCTCCCATCAGAAGTCCAGCAATTACCATCTGCTGTTGAATGTACACTATCCTGTAACATCCTTTATTATGTTTTATTATGTATCCGTAACAAAGAATAAACCTGAAGAAACCGTAAGTCGGATTGCGTATTACTACTTTTCAATAATATAGACATATATTATTGTGGCGAGCATTTGGCCCAAGAATATATATACAATTATCAACATTATCACCATTCCGTTCCATTACAAAATTACATTTTACAATCCCTTACCAGTTCCCGAGAGACCTTGGTCTAACCTATCCATGGATTTTATTGTTGAATTACCCCCTTCGAATGGTAACACAGTCATCCTGATGATAGTAGATCGGTTTTCCAAGATGGCTCACTTTGTGTCTCTTCGCAAGTTGCCCACATCCAAGGAACTGGCTCTTATCTTCGCTAGAAAAGTATTTCGGTTACATGGTATTCCTGTATCTATCGTGTCCGATAGGGGTAGCCAATTTATTTCCAGGTTCTGGAAAGCCTTTTGCTCAGAAATGGGTATTTCTCTCTCATTTTCTTCCGCTTACCATCCCCAGTCTAATGGAGCTGCTGAACGTGCCAACCAGTCTCTGGAGCAGTACCTTCGTTGTTTTGTGTCTTACCATCAGGACAATTGGTCTGATCTACTTCCTTGGGCTGAGTTTGCTCGGAATAATGCCACTCATGATTCTTCTGGCAAAGGCCCTTTTTACGTTGTCTATGGCCAGCATCCCGTTGTTCTTCCGGCTGCATTCTCCTCACAGGGCATGCCAGTTCTGGATGAGCATTTGGCTGGTTTGCGTAATACTTGGGAGCAGGTTCAGCGTTCTTTGGTGGATTCCGCTGCTCGCCAGAAGGCTCAGGCTGACAAGCATTGCAGGGCGGCTCCTACTTATGTTGTGGGGGACAGGGTTTTGCTTTCCACGTGGAATATTCGCCTGCGGGTGCCTTCTATGAAATTGGCTCCCCACTTCATAGGTCCTTATCGTATACTGCATAAGGTTAATCCTGTTTCATACGCCTTGGGTCTTCCTAGGAATCTGTGTATTCCTAATGTATTTCACACCTCGTTGTTGAAGCCTTACGTACGCAACCGTTATACCCGGCATTCTCCGCCTCCCCCTCCTGTCTCCGTGGAGGGTCATGAGGAATTCGAAGTCTCTGCTGATCTTGACTCTCGTTACCTTAGGGGTCGACTTCAGTACTTGGTGCATTGGAAGGGTTATGGGCCTGAGGAGCGCAGTTGGATTTCAGCTGATGCTGTTCACGCTCCCCGCCTTGTGCGTTCTTACCATTCTCGTTTTCCTGCCAGGCCTGGCCCTACCTGCCCGGAGGGCGTGTCCTCAGGGGGGGGTACTGTAGCGTTACTCACCTTATCCAGGGGCCGGCCGCGGTCCTCTCTTCGAGCCGCGCGCGGTCCTGCTGCTGCACGAGCCGCGCGCGGCTCATCCGACAGCTTCACTAGAAAGGCGGGCAGTGACCGCGAGAAGCGGTCACGTGTCCCGCCTGAATCTAAGAGCGCGCCGCGAGTCTCGGGCGCGCTCTTAAAGAGACAGTGGGAGCCTAAATTGTTAAAAGGCTCCCATTGGCCCCTGTCATGCCACACTCCCCATACACTTACCTTTTGGGGGTGTGGATATGACAGGAGCCAATCACATTAGTTTAGAAGCTATATATACTTACCTCTCCCTTTACTCCCTGCCCTATCGTGGTTTCTGTATCAGTTCCCTTTAGCGCTTGTTGTGTTCAGTTGTGTTTCTCCGTTTTGACTTTGGCTTTGTTTCTGACTACGTTTTCTCTTTATCCTTATCTGTTCTGGTTGTCGGCTTGCTGTTTACTGTGTACCAGACCCCGGCTTGTCCTAGTTTACGCTGTCTCTCTGTGCCCTTGACTTCGGATCGTTCCTGACTCTGCCTCCTCTCATATACGTCGAGTCCGGCCATTCTAAGGTCCGGTAGACGTATCTCTCCTCTGTGTTGTCTTCTGTTTAGCTGAATCCTGCGTGTTGGGGTATATTCACGTTACAGTAACATGCTCTTGAGTGTAAAGGGTGATGAGGGAGGCTGCAAAATCTATCTTCCCCTGTATGGGTAACAATCCTTCCACCGGCTCTGAAGCTGAAAAAAATAAACTATACACCTTCAAAATTAGATATACCAATTTTAGTTATTGGACAGATACATTTTCACTGCTTTAGCAGCTGAAAAGACTTTATACTTCACATTGATTTCTTTTGGGACTTAATTTCTCTGCTTGGCAGTACCTTCCTACTGTTTTATTGGGTCATATTTCAGTAACTGGGATAGTGTCTGATAAGCTAACTTGTTTTGAAGATTGCTTTATGAAGTGATGGTTGCTGTTGGTGAGGGCACCCGTTAGGCTGGCATCTAAAATAATTATTTGTACTGTCTCTGTACTTTCCTAGCACATTGTAAATGTTGTTTTATATTTAGCAATTCTGGTGGCAGTAAATTCAAAAGCAAAACTTAAAATAGGGAGCAAAGGTTTTAGAGCTTTAGAAGCCATCTGTCACAGTTTCAAGGATTTGGGGTCATTTTCTTACATGATTCTTCTTTCATCTGAATTTGTTACTTGTGTAATCAGATAAATTGATATATAGTCTATGGGATTTTATCACAAACCAGTTTTTTTTTAATGTATTTTTCATTCATATATCAAAAATAAGTAGGAAAGCAAGTGACTGTATACAGTAGGATTTAGACTTGTGCAAACATTCACTGGTAATTGTCAAACAAATCATTTCCGAATATTTATTTACTTGCAGTCCTACCTGTGGAGTCTACACGTGACATCGATTCGGAATCGATTTGTTTGGGTATTAATGAAAATGAAGTTTATCCAGACTAATTTTGCACAAGTCTAGTATGAATCTCAATCTCATCAATGGCAATGTCTGCTGACATTAAGCCATTCACTACTCGGTTTACTTCATTTATACAAAAAAAAGGATATACACACATAAAAAATGAATTTGAATGACTTACAAAATGTAGCTACATATACTTTTATTTGACAGTTCATTCATCTACTACAAAATGCAGTGGTGGTAAAGGGATTTAGATATTGAATTAATTTTGCAATAGTCAGTCTGTAATTTAAATATTAACATAAAAACATGAATATCAGTTTGTTTTTTTAAAACATAGAAGGTGTGACGAAAAAGATTAATACAATTAAACGATTGAAGAGTATGTAAGAGTCTGATGGGGCTAAGCAGGCTGTTCCAAAGTAAAGGAGCCGTCCGTGGAAAGTGCTGCAAGCGTGAGTTAGCAGTGAGGGTGTGAGGAGCAGGCAGGAAAAGGTCACCGGAATAGCGGAGAGCCCTAGAGGGGGCATACCTATGAATCAGTGAAGAAATGAAAAAGAGGCTAGAGTTGTTTAAAGCTATATAGGCAAGGGTTAGTATTTTGAATTGACACCTATCTGATACAGGAAGCGAGTTTAAGGATTGACAAAGGGGCGAGGTATGGAAGGAGCGACGGGATAGAAAGATCAGCCTGGCGGCAGCATTCATTACACAAAAAAAGAATAATGACCCAAAGCACACCAGTAAGTTTGCATATAAAATAGATTTATTCATCCAGTAATTTAATAAAAGTAGTACAAGAAAAGTGCAAACAGAAGTATAGGCATGTAAACAATAAGTCACAAACCCATATAAAGCATATCAAGTATAGAGACAAGTGCTTAGTTATAAATCCCACCAACTCATAATATTGTAGGCATGCTAACCCAGAGCAGGAGATACAGCAACCCCAACGTTTCAGCATCTAGCCTTCCTCAAGGGGGATCTCAAAGACTTCAGTCTATGTTCTCATTTATATACCAAGTAAATTAGTAGCCTGATCGTTACCAGAAGCATGCAGGACACTAAGTATCAAGCCAATAGGGTATCCTCTTGTGTGAAACTACTTCCGGGTTCGCATGTGAACTACTTCCAGATTCGCATGTCCTCACGCATGCGTGGCGTGTGACGCGTGCATAATGTTCAATGTAGTTATCGCCCATATCCATCTCTACTATCCATATCTGTCTACTTGATATGCTTTATATGGGTTTGTACATGCCTATAGTGCTGTTTGCACTTTTCTTGTACTACTTTTATTGAATCACTGGATGAATAATTCGATTTTATTTGCACACTTACTGGTGTACTTTGGGTCATTATTCTTTTTTGCGTCCATGCATCTGGTGGGGGAACAGATTTTTCCCATGAAGCACCCAACATCCTTTTTTAGCACACTTTTACCTATATAAAAGTTGAGCGCTCACTATATAATTGTACAGGCAGCATTCATTACAGACTGTTGTGAGACAGTGCGGCTCCTGGGAAGACCAGTTAGGAGAGAATTACAGTAATCCATATGACAAATTACTAGAGCATGAACAAGTTCCGTGGCAGCATCTTCCGTATAAAGGGGCGGATCCAGGCAATGTTTTTAAGGTGGAATCAATAGGTTTTAGCAACATGCTGGATATGAGGCACAAAGGTGAGGCCAGGATCAAAGATAACACCAAGACAGTGAGGCTGGAAGGATAGACCGAAGCAGGTAACATCAACTTGCAAGTAAAGCAAAAGAGGAGGATCAGAATTACGAGGAGGAAAAATAAGTAGCTCTGTTTTAGAGAGATTGTGTTTCAGAAAGCAGGAGGACATCCAGTCAGAGGTTGAAGAAAAGCAAGCAGTGACACGTTGTAGAAGTGTAGAAGTTGTAGGGAGAGATCAGTTTATGAAATGTTATTTCAATAATTACATGACATTATGGCTTTTTCTTTCCTCAGACCATGAGATAGTTCTACAGTTTAACAGTCATGTTAAATAAGGTGATTTCGAATGGGGATGCTTGACCCTTCGTTTTATTTAAACTTGCAAATAATAATTCCTTAGAGTTAGGGCTTTAGGAAAATATCACTAACTTACATGAATTCTATTTTAAATATGTTGCGTAAAGTAATGTCAGCAATGCCAAATAGATCTCTTTCCAATGATCTTAACATATTGATATAAGCTTTATCATTCCATTGAAGTGAAAATTAAAAAAAAAAGTAATGCATAACTAACAGCCCTCAATTTAATAAGATTTCCAAATAAAACAATACTGTTAGAAAAATAATCCAAATGATTTATCTACAAATATCTGCATAAACGTTAATAGTGATATCTGTCGATAAAGAATTTGAAAAGTTTTACCAAGGTTATTGAATCATGTAGAACGCTTTTTAAACTGAGGCCATCATGTTTCCTTATATACAGTTATGTATGGTTACAAAAGGGCACAAATGTTTACTATCTGTATAACTTAAAAAGATTTTTGTAAAAATATATTATTTTCAATCAATATAAATACAGGAAAAGAAGAAGTACAAGTGAATTTAAAAAAAAAAGTTGTATCAATTTTCCATACATGTAGGACATAGAGAATCACATCTTTACCTAACCTAACACTAATGTTATTCTTCAGTAGTAGAGAGGTGTCTTACCATAGTGTGGAATGATGCCCCAGGCCATTGCTGATGCATATATTGCCCCAATCATCCAAAACATGCAAAGCCAACTCAAATGTTCGCCTCTCTTCTCACGAGCTAAAAATTCTGAGAAATAAGCAAACACGATGGGAAGGGATCCGCCAATACTGGAAGAAAAATTGGAAAATGTAACAAATATAATGTCATCCAAAACTAACAAAAAAAAGTCTAGACTGGGTGAAAACATATGAGTCTTGTGAAAGTTTTATATGTTTAAATACTAATTTTGATGTTATACACTAACCTGGGACATGTGGAGACCCCCATGGTAAATAGGTTAATATGTCACAATGACATTGCACTAAAATGGGTCAGTGATGTTTTGATATAAGTAACTTCCTGACAAAATAAAATAGAAACAAATGGCAAACATAAAGTTTTGACCATCCCGTCCTTCTACAGACTCTCAGCTCACTTGGTTTCTGTGACGCTGAGCTCTTGCATCCACTCTTATCTTTCCAGCAGGTAATGTTCTGTGTTATTTGCTGGTAACTCTTCTCCATTTATAACTCATTACCAGGTAAACCTATCAACAGCAATGGCTTTCTCCCTCTGTCCTTTCTCACATCAAGGACTGCTTATCTGGCACTTTTTTCCTGGATGTACTCCTGCCACCTAAACTAGGCTTCTTTTAATTCTCTCCTCTACTACAATTTCTCACTTTTATATCTCTCGGCATTATCATCTCCCCATCACCCCAAATCCGTTGCCTTGGAGTTACACTTCACTCCAATCTTTTCCTCACCCTCACATTCAGTCGGTTTCTTCATCCTACCTCAACCACCCACACAATATTTCCAAAATTAAACCATTTCTGAGTACTGATACCAACTCATCCACTCCCTTGTTATTTCTTCTCTCTACTAGTGCAATAACCTACTAACTGTCTTTACTCTCTCTGCTCTTCAGTTCATATTAAATGCCTCTTCAAGGCTAATCCACCTTACCCATCGCCCTGTATCTGCTGTACCTCTCTGTGAGTCTCATCCACACTGGCTCCCCATTCAAAGCATAATTAAATTCAAGCTTCTTACTCTGATATATAATGCCCTTACTAACGCTAATACCCACTACCTGTCCTCACTAATAAACAAATATACTCCAGCCTGCCCCCTAAGATCCAACAATGACCTCTCCTTGCATCTCTTATCGCCTCTTCCATTGCTAGACTGCAGGATCTCTCTTGTGAAGCACAAACCCTCTGAAACGCACCTCCCTGCGCTTTCAGACTTTCCTCTAGTCTTTCTTCCTTTAAATGCTTCCTAAATACATTATTGTTCAGGGACATCTACCACTCCATAATTAATGTATTCCATTTACCAAATAAATGCCCTCATGTCACTCTGCATTAACACCATTCTCATCCTTGCAGTCCCCACTTCCTGTTTCTCACCTCCCCATCCATCTAGATTGTAAGTTCCCACAGGTATAGGGTCCTCATCTCCTTCTGCATTCAATGGTCCACTTTTGTATTGTCTCTTAGCTATATTATACTGTGTGTTTACTGTGTGTTTACTTGTACCAATTATAATCATGGATAGCCCTGCAGAATGTGATGGTGCTTTATAAATAAAATATAATAATAATAAACTGATATCAGTACTCTTCTAGAACACTGTATGCAGGATGGGTAAAAAATCTGGAACCATCCAAATACCTGTAAGACCTATAAGACTTAGAATACATTTAAGATGGCGGTGTAGAGGTTAGAGAACCATACATCATAGGTAAATTCTTTGAACTATCGTCCAATGATAATCACAAGAGTAAAGTAGCCATCTTCTAAGTATTTGGGTCATTCCTGGGTTCTGACTCAAAGAACAGATTGCTACCATCCAACCATATTTTAATAAAATATATATCAAATGTAATTCATATACCTATTAATATACATTGATTGCATACTGTGTACTGATATGCAGGCCATAGATATGTATTGTATTTTAGAAGTAGTATACTTACCCAAACCCAGATATAAGGCGGCAAAAGAGAAACAGTCCATATCCCTGTACAAAGGAGGAGATGGATGAAAACGCAGCATTGATGGCAAGTGAGATCATGAGACATTTCTTCCTTCCCAGTTTATCTGCAAGTCCACCCCATACAAATGCACCAAGCATCATCCCAACGTAGACTATCAATCCTGATAAAATCAGAAGTGAAAGGATGTTACATGCTCTGCAGTTATTTTATCAACATTATCAACATTGTTTGTTACATCGAGAATCCGTGCGATACCATCATTAAAACTATCCAAAGGAAGACTCACTTGTAGTATACATTTTAGATTCTGGCAAAAGAGAAAGAGAAAAACAAGTTGCAACTTTGGAAGTGAATGAATTGTCTTGAAATTCAGGCAAATCTATTTGGCTGAGGAGGCTAACAATTGTATTATTTAAGACATACCCTTACTATAAGAGGCTCTATAATGGGAAATGTGCATTAGGCATACATTATTTTCCCCTTCATATGACCTCTCTGCATTGAGAGTTGACCTATTTTCACTTTATACAAGTGTCTAACCTGTTGCTAAGAGATTAATGTGACCACTAAAATAAAAATGTCTGGCTTCAGATGTTAAAACATTGCCATGTACAATTATAACACTTTATTAAAAGGGCAGTGGACTGGTAAGGACATGATGGAATTTTTTTTTTTTTCCTTTTTACACAAAGTCATGATCCGTGCACCCTGTGGGTAAGTGCTGTCTCAATCTATGTACTGTGTCAGCCTTGCATAGAGAACCCTGCATGAAGGGACTCTGTGCAACATATACACAGTACTCAAAGGTTTCACAAATCACTTGTTATTGGCAAGTTAAAATGTAGCCCTAACAAGTAGAAAGCTACCTCTAGTGAGTGTATCATGCACCTCTAGGCTTGTAGTGGAAATTAAGTTTGAAAGCTTGGTTAGTAGCGTCCGACTTGACATTTTAGGCCCTGGTATACATAAGAACACATGATCCCTCACCAGCAAGGCAGAAAAGCTGGAAGTTCGGATGTAGGGAAAGCAAGGCCATATAGGTTCAGTAATAACATGTGTTCTTTACAATGTATGTTTCATTATTGGTTATTTAATGAGCAAGGTAGTCAGCCAACCAGTCATCAGACAAGTCAGGATACATGATGATTCTGTAAGAGTGTGTCTCTTGTATTGTGTTTGTGTCTGCACCCCTGCACTGGAGTCAGTTAGAATGCAATGGAATTAGTATTACAGGAATTCATTTTAAGAAGGAGGGGTTATAGCACAAATTGGTTGTTAGAGGCTTAAGCACACCTGGCCACATGGTTCCTGGAACGGTAGGCATTTAGGACATGATGATTGGAAGTTCTGTGGCAGAAGTGTATAAATGGGTAGTGGAGGTATCCGTCTCCAGAGATCCCGTTCTCCCTGTCACTCTTTGTTGCATGGAGAGGGTCTTTATGTTCCATTGCCCAGTCTGCTGGAACTTCTTGAGACTCTGAGTGGTATTGAAAACCACTATCCATTCACTTTGCATGCTTGGAGTCTAGAGCACTCTTCACTGAATCAGCTGAGGAGCATGAAGACCCTCTGCCATTGACCTGCTGTCTCTGCTATGTCTGGGAGGACACAGCAGAAACACACAAAAGGATGAGAGGTAAGACAGACACAAAATAGGGTAAGGAAAGTAGTGACATGCACATGAAGTAATTGGGGAGTTGAAAGACATACAAAGGTGTGATGGAGTTAAAGAGAGACACAAAAGGGGTGAGGGGATGAAGAGATGCATAAAGGTTTGCGGGGGTAAGGAGAGACACAAGGGGTATTTCAACAAAATATTTTATTGTTGGGGGAGGGGAGCATGGACAAATAATTCCATCCTTGGTGTTAAATATCCTAGGCAAGCCTCTGCCTCTTGGTCATTTAATAGAGGCTGTAAAGAATTAGGGCAACTCACTTTGGTACAATCTATCCATGGTATACTGTATCTTTCCCTCTCTATATCATGGTTGCTTATTAGTGATGTCCCGAACGGTTCGCGAACGGTTCGCGAACGGTTCGTGAACGGTTCGTCATGAACGGTTCGTGAACGGTTCGTCACGAACGGTTCGCGAACGGTTCGTCACGAACGGTTCGCCACGGACTCATCATTGAGTAAACTTTGACCCTGTACCTCACAGTCAGCAGACACATTCCAGCCAATCAGCAGCAGACCCTCCCTCCCAGACTCTCCCACCTCCTGGACAGCATCCATTTTGAAGCTGCATTCTTAGTGAGCTGTCCAGGAGGTGGGAGGGACTGGGAGGGAGGGTCTGCTGCTGATTGGCTGGAATGGGTCTGCTGACTGTGAGGTACAGGGTCAAAGTTTACTCAATGATGAGTCCACGGTGAACCGTTCGCGAACCATTCGCGAACCATTCGGCGAACCGTTCGGGACATCACTATTGCTTATACCTCATGCCACAAAAGTTAAAGGTTTAATTTCTATTTTATCCTTCACACCTCTAAATCACATTAAATAATAATTCCCATATCCCAATCCTCAAAATTTGTTGTCAGCAAAATGTCAATAGTTTGCACATTGCAGCATTAAAAATGATATCCTAGCACAATGCAATTTCTCAGTTTCCTTAAGTCATTTGTCACTTAATTTAACCCTCCAGCCTTAAAGACAATTCACTGCTTATCAAATTGCTTATCAACCTTTTGCATGCTCCACTAAGGTGCGGAAACAATGCTCAGACATTGAGTCGCTTTTAAAATAACCCATTCTAACCATTCTATACAAATTAATTCCCTAGAACAGGAGTCTGCTATTTATGGCACGTGTGTTTTTTATGTTTTAAAAAAATACTGTTATCATTAGGAGGTTTGTTCAATAAAATATGAATTGTACTCTTGATAACACGAGAATAATGCTGACTGTTATTTACATAAATTATTTAGGTAAATGAGAAAAATTTCATTTGCATAATAATTTGGAATAGGGTATACACACCAAACATACAATGTGACATATCATTTAGACACAAAATTCCACAAGCAGCCCCATTCATACACAATACCACAAACTACTCATGAACATATACAATATAACAGCCCACATACACACAAATACAATGTTACAAAGCAACTGCAGCACCCATAAATAACACAAGCACAATATGGCAACATGCAAAACTCAATTTAAAAAAAATAGACCGGTACACTAAGCACTTCAAGATCTTGTTTTGGCACAGCACTGGTAAAGGGGTTGCATAGCCCTGCCCTAGAACTATATATCCCCGTGAACACTAATCCATAAACACTAATAGCAACCCCCACATACTGCACAGTATGGGTCAGTTTACTACTAAAATTGCCAGGAATTCTATGTGGATAAAAAAATATTTAGATTTTCTTTTTCAAAAGCTAAAAGGAACACTCCAGACCTCTAAAGTGACTTTAATGGACAATACACTGAAAAGAGTTTCCCTTCTGAAGTGCTCTAAGGATTAATAGGACTTCTGCCCTGTACTAGTTCATAAAAGTGCTGGTATCAAGAGAAGTTAGCACTTTTATTAATTAATTTAGGAAAATCCCCATGCAGTCAGGCTGACAGAGAGGAGGGCTTCCTAATTCACTTTGGCTGAATGATCGTGAGAGACTCCAAAGTGAAGAATTGGTCAGTATTCTATCAGGCTATTGTGATGATTGCTGCATTTGCTTGGCATATAGGGGGCAATTGCCACACATGCACCAATTTCGTCTGAAGAGAAAGGAAAGACTGGCTTTAATGACGGTCTCCCTAGGAGCAACGGCAAAAAAGGTCTCGTCACTGAATAAAAAGATGACTTAAAATACTTTTTATGTAAAGATGATTGTAGTAAAGACTCCAACAGATGGAGCCTCTCCACCACACTTCATCCCTAACGTTACTTATAATTTAATATAATTACATTTTCCCATTTTTCTTTATCTTCTTAATCTTCAATTACTGAGCCTTTTGCGGTACCATTGCTACTTACAGTTGCATCCAAACTTGTTTACCTTTATTTAATTGTTTAATTGTTTAATTGTATTAAAAATTGACAGAACAGAACTGCATACAAAAATCTATAAACGCACCACCAAACAACATCTCGTTCTCTACCAACCCTTTTGTATCATGATGTACTGACGAAATGTTTGAATTGTGGCTTTTGCATAAGCCCATGCATGTACTACCCTTGTACGACACTCATGTGCTTGTCAACTCTGCCAAATGAAAATAAAGAATTACAAGATGATTGTAGTAAAGAAAATATTAAAATATTAAAACCCCCAAAATATTTTTTAAAGTTGGAGCATTCTTTTAACTTTAAATATCATCTTTTGCAAACAGTTGAGTAGTGATCATTTTTCTTTATAGGACTGAATGATATCATATATAGACCAGACTGTCATTGGCTCATGAAAGGCTGATGATTTTATATGAAGTTTACAGATAAAAGTGTTTACTTTTTAGTATTGTGTTAAGGATAAATTGCCATTTGGCAACATTAAAACAACATTCTAAGCACCATAATCACTACAGCCAGGACCAGATTTACATGTCGGCACCTGTGGGCACAAATGTCTAAGGTGCCCCTTCTGCCCAGGTGGACAATAGAAGGGCACAGGAGGGGAGGGGGGCAACAAAAGAAGGTCACAGAAGGGGAGGGGAGCAGAGAATGGCACAGGAGGGAGAAGGACAAAAGAAGGGCAGAATAAGGAAAGGGGAAAAAGAAGGGCTCAAAGAGACACACGGAGGGACTGAGAGGGGCAAAGGCACAAACGAAGGGGCTGGGGGCACAAAGAGAAACACAGAGGGATTGGGGGAACAAAGAAACACACTGAAGGGCAGGGGGGACAAATAAGCACAAGGGAGCGCTGGGGGGACAAAGAGACACACAGAGGGGCTGGGGAGGGGAAAGAGAGACACACAAAGAGGTTGGGGGAGAATTAGATGTAGAAAGGGGCTGGGGAAGAAAGAGACACACAAATGGGCTGGGGGAAAGACACACGCAGAGGAGAAGGGAAGAGGAAGGGGAAAAAGAGACACACAAAGAGTTTGTGGGAGAAACACATGCACAAAGGGGCTGGGGGAAGAAAGAAGCCTGACAGCGAGGCACAGCACCCAGGCAGCAACAGTAAATAAGTGAGAAGAGCCAACTTTGGCTGGGTATCAGATATGCTGTTCAGGCTTGCAAGATTGTTACCAAACTACAGATGGCTCTGCACAGGCTCCACAGCCAAATTCAAATATTTTTAAAAAATATGGCAGACCGGGTAATTTAAACTTCTTCGGACTACTAGGAGTGATACGCAGGCTGTGACTGGACTGTGTCTATATTCTGCTGAGCCAAACTAACTAAAAATGTTGTGAGAAAATTGGTTGGGCTGAGCTAAATGTTTTTGCCGTGCACAAGTTTAGTTTGGCATACTGTATCTCACAAAAGTGAGTACACCCCTCATATTTTTGTAAATATTGTATTATATCTTTTCATGTGACAACACTGAAGAAATGACACTCTGCTACAATGTAAAGTAGTAAGTGTACAACCTATATAACAGTGTAAATTTGCTGTCCCCTCAAAATAACTCAACACACAGCCATTAATGTTTAAACCGTTAATTAATGTTAAAAAAACGGAGTGCACCCCTAAGTGGAAATGTCCAAATTGGGCCCAATTAGCCATTTTCCCTCCCTGGTGTCATGTGACTTGTTAGTGTTACAATGTCTCAGGTGTGAATGGGGAGCAGGTGTGTTAAATTTGGGGTTATCGCTCTCACACTCTCTTATACTGGTCACTGGACGTTCAACACTGCACCTCATGGCAAATAACTCTTTGAGGATCTGAACAAAAAATTGACATTTTGGGCCCAATTTGGACATTTTGACTTAGGGGTTTACTCACTTTTGTTGCCAACGGTTTAGATATTAATGGCTGTGTGTTGAGTTATTTTGAGGGGACAGCACATTTACACTGTTATGCAGGATGTACACTTACTACTTTATATTGTAGCAGAGTATCATTTCTTCAGTGTTGTCACATGAAAAGATATAATACAATATTTACAAAAATGTGAGGGGTGTACTCACTTTTGTGCGATACTGTATGTAGTTTGGCATATATCACCAGTATCCAGCTCGGTTGTATAATAACAAAAATACTTGTGGGCACTCAATATAACTTCTAAATCACTTCTGGATACTAGACCATTTCAGAATATCCTAAACAACAGCTAAAAACATGTTCAGTTACTTCCAGGCTTTTTTGCCAAATGTAACATTTCTTATTTAAATGTTATTTTCTTAAAATATTTGCTGATATTTTCTCTTAAAATTGATAAAACTAACCGAACATCACTGAGATTCATTAAACGATGAGCTCAAACTGATCTCACACTTAGAAATGCTGACAGTGTACAGAAGGCACCAAGCAGTCTGTATTCTTTAAGCTCTCTAATTTGTGAGCCAGTGCTAATTTTAGCCTTCTCCATTAGTATGTAACCCTGTCAAGGAAATAAGCAGGCAGAGGTGGTCTTAAAGCACATTAGAGAAACTCTCCAGAGACCACTGACTCAGCCAGCACAGCTTTCGAATCTAAGATTGTCCAATTTTGACACATTGTTAGCAGAAGCTGCCAGGATGCAACTAACGTTTTTACAATGTTTTATGATAAGGTGTACCTAACTGCAGAAAAAATCCAACATTGCCATCTGGTTAAATACTATTTATTCTCAAAACAGAATGCACCTGTCATGGTTGATTATATATTTCCTACCTGTTCTATGCTAAAATCTGTTAATATTGTGTATTAATATTGTTTTTGTATTTTATTGTACCATAATGTATCAACGCAATGTTTTGTGGGCCCAGGACATACTTGAAAACAAGAGAAATCTCAATGTATCTTTCATGGTAAAATATTTTATAAATAAATACATTTTATTCCTAACAGTAGAAAATTAAAATAGTTTTGAAACTCTGTAATGTAACCAATTTGCAAGGGGTAACATACCTCCAAACAATTAGAGGGGTTACACATATTTAAAGAAAAAAGGACTAACACTGACTCCAAGATCACAGAAATTATTTAGCGGCAAAGCTTCAGGTATGTCCCTCAGGATTATCTTAACCATTTTTTGGTTTAAATCCATCTTAGACTGCCCAACATGTCTGGAAATGGATTTAAAAATGGTTTTAAATACAGGCAAAAATGCACTTGATGTTGGGTGGCTTAAAGGGGTTCTATAGTGTTAGGAATACAAAGTTGTTATATCCCTAACACTAGTGCCCTTTGGCCTCTTCCCCCCCTCCCTCCGGTATATAAAAGATTAAAAAATCTCTTATTTACTCACCAGACTCCGGCTTATTTTTCTCTCTCATCGCTCCACTCACACATCACCCCTCTGACAACCATTAGATTGGCTTTGTGTACACATTAGGATTCAATTCAAAATATTAACACTTACATACAAAACTCGTAAAAATTCCCCATTTCATTTGAACACTACATCATAGGTAAGCCTCTTCTCCATCATTCCACTCTGCCAATGGCCTTCTGCTGTCCTCTAGTAGCACCGAAATGCTAACTCTCACTAACAAGATTTCTCACACTCAGCTCCATTCCCATGAAACAGCCTGCCTCCCCATCAGAATTTTCTCTTATTAAGAAATTCCTTAACACCCTTCTCTTCTGGCTAACCTATGGTCTCCTTAAGTAGCTGTAATTCCTTAAATTTATCTCTTACTCGTCTTAACATAGTAAGTGGCTCCACTTTCTTCTTCGCTCGCAAATTCCAACTTTAATGTTCATCTTGTGATTTTCCATGCTGTCCTTCCTCTCATGGTTATTAGACTTTGCCTTCTCTAGATTGTAAGCTCATTTGAACAGGATCTTCATTAACTTCTTGTTCCTGTTAACATTTCTAACAGTTTGTCTCATTTGTTGTTAAATCCCCCTTTTAAACGTATATACTGCTATAGAATAGGTAGGCACTATATATCCACCAATAATAATTATAATAAAAGGATACTTCTTCTTGTCTGGTATTGAAGTTTTTGAGCCTTGGAAGGGTATACAGATAAATATGATTACTAAAGGCAAGAGAATTACCTCTACAGAATCACAAATTCACCATATAGTAATACATACGTCTACGGGTTATTAACTACTTTCACTACCAGGCAGTCATTCTAAAGCCAGGAATATTTTATTTCAATCTATAAAAAAGTTTATCTAAGAAATCCAGTATAAAATCATTCATTGTTCTGCTTGAAAATGGTTTCATATCTAAGTCTGTTCATCTTTGTTATTGGATGTAGGTTACATCATAAATCAAAAGACATAAAAGATTATTTTGAGTGGGGATCATTTTTATTAAAATATGATATTGAGCAAGTAAGAAATCATGGGGGGAACTCACTAGCAAAGGGAATAGTACAGCAAAAATTTTTAGATCTAATACATCTAGAAAAACTATTTAATTCATGCTATATATATCTTTGGTTCCTTAAGTACAGCAAGTCAAAATCATGCTGAAGAGCAGTTCTCCTCAACCTTCTCCTTAAAGGACCACCATAGTGCCAGGAAAACAAACTTGTTTTCCTGGCACTATAGTGCCCTGAGGGTGCCCCCACCCTCAGGGTCCCACTCCTGCCGGGCTGAAGTTGGAGGAAGGGGGTTAAACACTTACCTTTCTCCAGCGCCGGGCTCCCTCCCTCTTGGGGACTCTCCTCCTCCTTGAGACAGCCACTAGAGGCTGGATTAACCCATTTATAAACATAGCAGTTTCTCTGCAGGCAGGGTTAACCCTAGATGGACCTGGCACCCAGACCACTTCATTAAGTTGAAGTGGTCTGGGTGCCTATAGTGGTCCTCTAAGGAACACCTAACAGTCCATTTAGGGATTACCCAGGTGTGTCTAAGGTGTTTGCAAAAAAAAACTAAATCGTGGGCTGTTAGGTGTGCCTTGAGGAGAGGGTTGAGGAGGAGTATATAAATGTACATAATTAACATTAAAAGTAACTAAGAATTCAACAGCACTCTAACAGTGATCCTCATGCATCAAGCATCTAGCATCAACTGTACTTGGTCCTCAGCCTAAGCATACTGCAAAGCAATAAAGGAAAATGGTTTTAAGTGGAAACAAATAAGATAGGTCTTGCCTTGGAAGGACAGTGTTCCAGTAACATAAAATGTCATGTGTTATATTGGAATGTCATTCTACTTATGTCTGCTATATCTATATTTCTTTGTTATTATTATATTATATTATATTTTATGATTTTAGTAGTAAGTAGAGAGGGGCAGTTAAGATAGTGGGGGCAACATGCAGAATGGCAGGTGTTTCTGGACTACTGAAATTCTCCAAGCCTTGGAAAGGAGTCTTGGTAATTAAGGATGCAGCTACAATTGTACAATATCCAAGAATCATAATGACGTCAGAAGAATACAAGTTTGTTTTGCCCAGTAACTGAAATTATAATAGGCTAAAAAAATTATTGAATGTAGCTCTATTAAAAACATGTTTTGTGTTGGTTCATAAGTTGCTAATGGTGCACATACATGGAAAAGAGACAGATTATAAAAAAGAAAGTCCCACTGTAGAGGTTAAAGTGTGTTGGTATCTATATGTGTGCGTACCTGTAAGTGTGGTGGATGTTGAATTGAACAGCAGATATGGCACTCCAGTAGATGTAAAACAAAACTTCAATCAAAATATTTTTAAAGCACAAACATATCATTTAACATTTTAAGGATGAAAGCAATTGAATCAAAACAAAACCTAGAATTTGTGCCATGTATTGTTCTACCATAATTTAAGGCTTTCACTTTGAGTACTCATACATGTTAAATATTTATTTTTAAAGAACAGAAATTGCTTCCTTGTAACATCAAGTATAAATAATATGTTAAAATTGGGAAAAAAAAATAATGTAACAGTTTTGGTGAAAAAGAACTGAAACTGAAAACTGGAACTGAAAACTGAAAATAGTATGGATTGTTAAATGCCTCATAGTTCTAAGATCTATACTAACATAATAATATATCCCAACAATACCCCTAACCCTATGCTTACATGACCTATAAACTGTACACGCTAACCCAACCCTTAATCCTACACTACACCTAATCGTACCCTAATACTAACGGTAATCCTAACCTTAACTCAGTATTGACATCAGCAGAGGGATTTCCGAGCTCACACAGTACAGAGCACTTTCTCTTTCCCTCTCACGCTGCAGCTCATGTATGCTGTCAATTAATATGTGACTAGTGCTGGGCAGCAGGCACAGCCCAGCACCAATTACTGTCAGCAAGGGGGCAAATAGGGAGACCCTCTTGGGACTTTTCAGATCATACAGGTCTCTCTATGTCTGGAACATGCTGACTATCACCGCGATCATTCAACTGTGGTAATTTAACTTAATTTGAAGGGATATATGCAGCACTGCATATAGCTCATTGGTCCGTCTAGTCCACTAACTATAGCCGTAGCTGACAAAGGGAATCCCGCGATATCTATCGATACCCTTGGTCTTCCCAGAGCAATCAATGATCTAACCCTGCTTGCTCCAAAATTATTTTCATTACTTTCAAATTGAGAATTGTGGGGGGTGGGAGGGGAGGGGCATTCCCAGAAAATAGAAGCTACTTATTCCATAATTATTGTTCAATACAGCTATGTCTGGACTTTTAAAAAGCAAAATGAACATTAGAATGTCAACTATAAACCAGCATCACAGACTAGTAAGTTACCATTGAACATGCACAAAGAGATTTCGTAAAAATATTTTTATAAACACTTGTCAGGCAATAAAAGAATTGTCTACATACCCAGCATTCCTTTGTTTGAGCGGGATAAACACATGTCTTTCTCAGCACTAGGAAGGACAAAACCCACTACAAATACTTCTACTCCATCAGCCATCAATGCCAGTCCTAAAACAAAGAAGAGAGTCCACTGGAAACGTCCATGGCCACACTCCTGTATGATGTTTTCATATTGGTAAGCAAACTGTTCTGCATCCTCCATTCTTTCCGCAATAAGATCCTCTTGGTCTTTAAATGCATCCTTCATTGATTTGTCATTATGCTGGACTCTTATATCATCAGGGTGGGGTATACCTTGATATTCCCCCTCATATATCTCATCATCATCATCATGGCCTTCAGTGGCATCACTTTGGGCATCTTCGTCTTGATGGGCATGTTCCCCACTGTTGTAGTAACCGTCATTAGTTGTGTAGCTTCCATATGTATTATCCTGATACCTAGAATAATCATCCATTGCTTGGTTACTGGTCTGTCTCTTTACTTCTCTTGACATATCCCGAGCACCTTGGTAAAGATGTGAACTGTTTCTGTAATTATCGTCCATTTTTCAATTAAAGATTTAATTACAGTATGTCTTTTTCTGATTTGTTAAAAGAAACAAATTTTGTAAAAAAAATTTAAAATTCCTTATTTTCCGCACCTTTCAACAATATTCCTCATAGGATCTTTTCCTGGCATGTAACAGCTATAATAACCACTTCATATTTTTTGGTCAAGAAACGCAATTTTTATCATGGCTACTCCATCTGTAAATAAAGAAAGGAAAATCATTGACTAAATGACTAATTCAAATCCAATATACAATATTTTATATAACACTACTGCATCATAATTTTCTATGAAATGCAATCTCTTTTTATCTGTTTAGATAATGACGTATCAAACACATTTTTTAAAAAATCTGCTTGGTTGGTTGCATGCAGGATGTAACTAAACTGATAAATGCTGATATAAATCCATCAAGTTGAATAATTTCTAGATTTATTTATTTATTACAAAATAAAAGCAAGCAAATAGCTACCTTAAAGATGTTAAGGGTCTCCCTCAATATTTCGAATAATAAAAATCTAATGTTTAAATTGGTCAAATTGTTCAGTTCTTAGAACTCCAGTTATGATTACCATTTTAATATGCAGCTTTTTTATTTCAACTTTTTTCTCTTTGTGTGTTGAAAACAAAAATACAAGTTTTATTTAACATGTTCATGAATGCTGTTACCCTCTGTACATCACCAACACCAGACATGGACTGGCCATTGGGCAAGCCGGGTAAACGCTCAGTGTGCCATGATGGTACGGTTCTCCTTGGTCCAAAGAAGAGTTTTAAAAGCTGAGAACATGGTCTCCCTCTTTCTACTATAGCAGAGCATAAAATCTATTCACAAATAGGACTATACATAGGACACGAGGTCATGTGTTTAGACTGGAAGACAGATTTAATCTAAGACAAAGGATAGTTTTTTTTTACCATAAGAACAATAACGATGTGGAATTCTCTGCCTGAAAAGGTGATTTAATCAAAATCTGTACAGATGTTTAAACAGCAACTAGATGCATACTTGCAAAAACAACCAACAGCTTATTGATCCAAGGATAAATCTTACTGCCATTCTGGGGTCAAGAAGGAATATTTTTCATAGTTTGTTTCAAAATTGGAAGTGCTTCAAACTATTTGTTTTTTTTGCCTTCTTTTGAATCAACAGCAAAAAACAGATGTGAGGAATGCTGACCTTGATGGACACATGTCTCTATTCAGCCTATTTAACTATAAAACTATGTAACTATGGCAAATTTCTGCTAAATTCTCTGGCGCCAGCCGGAAGGAGTTGTTTACACCCACTTGGAAAGATGATTCTTACACTGGACCACCTGGGATTCAGAATCCTCATCTCCCTGGTCAAAGGTAAGCCTCAGTTAGGGGGAATTACCTTTAGTTTTTGTTTTTTCCCAATGTTTTTACCATTTATTTCACACTCCACTCCACTATTGACCCTATCACCATTACAGCCACTATGTCCCCACTACTGCACCATCTCCACATCACTGCCCATATCTCCACATCACTTCCCCTATCCCCCATTACAGCCATTATCCCCTCCCACCTAAGCACAGTCCCCCTACAGTTTCTCTCCCCAACTACTGCACATAACCAGCAACACAGCCCATAAACCACCATCATAGCCCTTTTCCACCTACCACTGCCCACCCATTACATTTCCTATACATCCATGCACTACAGCCCATATTTCCCCAAACACTACAGTCCCTATCCCCATAACAGCTCCTATCCTTCCACTACTGCCCCTATCCACAACATAACCCATCACTGATTATCAGTGGGTAAAGGGTTAAAAGGTAAGGGGCAGTAGCATACTTCCCCACTGCTAATTGCATAACAGCCATCATCCCCCCCACATATACTACAGCTCCTAACCACCACACAAATACACACTACAACCCCTCTCCACACACCCTACACCACTAACAGGTCACTTCACACTTGCTGCATTGCAAACAGCCCCCTTTACAGACATGTAACTCCTCAAGCAGCCTCCCCCACATGCAAACCGAAACACGCAACTCCACAAGCAGAATTCCCACATGCATCTAGCTCTCTACACAAAAAATCTCACAAACTACTTCTTAACATACAGGTATACACTACACCATAGCTAGTCTACCACACATGCAACTCCACAAGTAGCATTCCCCCAAACATGCAACCTCAAAAACGGCCTCCAAGCCCATACAAAATCACAATCAACCTCCTTATACACACACACACACACAACACCCTCTCCCAGCCCTGTCCCTCTTTAGTCCTCTGATATTCCACTTCTGGGGACACCAGAGACATGTCTCAATAAAACACAGAACAAACTTGTCATTACATTTGCTTGTACTATGCTAAACACAGGGCATTTTCTTTATAGCAGAGTACTTCAGCATTGCTCTGCACATGAGCTGCCATGGAGGAGCTTCATTTTGGGAAGTGTGCATGTCATTGCAGATGTTCACTATTTATGACGTTCACCTATTTGATCTCTATTATTCCCTCATATCTTTAAATGTCAAATCTTTCTCTTCTTCCTTTTCCTTGATTTGTTTTTAACACCTCAATGCTTCCCCACCAACAATATCAGTCCTATCTAACCCCAGATTTTCTCTTCCAGCCTGTGCCCCATGCAACATTTTATAAAGCTACTCCCAGGAATCACAGATACCAAATCCTGCAGGATGGCCATAAGCAGAGGTAGAATATTTGAAAAATTGGGGAAAAATTCTCTGCATTTAATGAACAAGAGGTGACTGCACTACTCCTATACTCTCATCCCACCACCTGTCCATTTGATCCCGCACCTTCCCACCTTATCAGATCGTTCTCCCCTTGTCTTGTACCATACTTAAAACAGATCCTCATCTGCTCTCTTTCATCTGGTGTTGTCCCTACTCCACTTAAAGGTGCTACTGTGATACCCATCCTAAAAAGGCTTTGCTAGATTCATCCTCCCCTTCCAATTATCGTCCTATATCCCTGCTCCATTTTTCCACAAAGCTTCTAGAAAGACTAGCCTTTACTCATTTGACTCGTTTCCTTAACTCCAACTCTCTCCTCGACCCTCTTCAATCTGTCTTCCGCCCCCTCCACTCTACTGAGAGTGCTCTGACTGAAGTCACAAATGACCTAACTCAAAAGGCCACTACTCCATGCTAATTCTTCTTGAACTTTCTGCCGGTTTTGACACTGTTGATCATGCCCTCCTTCTCCAAACTCTTCAATCCCTCGATCTTTGTGACACTGTGTTCTCGTGGTTCTCATCCTATCTCTTCCAATGCTCATTCTATGTCTCCTTTTCTAATGACACCTCCTCCCCTCACTCAGTCTCGGTTGGAGTCCCCCAAGGATCTGTTCTTGATCCCCTTCTGCTCTCTCTTTATACTGCCTCTCTCGACAAGCTTGTTCATTAAGTTAAATTCTGTTACCACCTGTATGCCAATGACACTTAGATATATCTCTCCTCCCCTGACCTCTTCCCCGCTGTCCTACAATATGTCACTCCTTGACATGTTGACAGCTTCTTATTTTTCCTCCTCATAATGCTGAAACTCCTCATTCGCTTCCCTGCAATTTGATGGCACTTGCATCAGTCCGTCCTTACAAGCTCATTGTCTTGGTGTTATCTTTGGTCCTGGCCTCACCTTTTTGAACCTCATACCCAGTATGTTGCTAAAATCTGTTGATTGCACCTAAGAAACATTGCCCCCATCTGACCCTTTCTTATGCAAGATGCTGCCATGGAGTTTGTTTGTGCTCTGGTAATCTATTGTATGGATTACTTTAATTTTCTCCTAGTTGGTCTCTTTAGAAGCCGAACTGACCTCGCTACAATCTGTAATGAATGCTACCGTCAGACTGATCTTTTTCACCTGTCACTACTCCCATACCTCGCCCCTTTCTTACACTATCTCCCTGTATCCTATGTGTCAATTTAAAATACTAACCCTTACCTATAGAGACATAAACAACTCTAGCCCTGTTTAATTTCCTCACTAATTCATAGATATGCCCCTTCTCGGTCTCTCTGCTCTGCCGTGAAAACCACCAGTCCCCTGCTCGCATCCCTTACTGCAAACTCGCACTGTTGGCTCTTTTCGTTTGGAACGGTCTTCCTACCCCCATCAGACTCCCTCCTAGTCTTCAATCATTTAAGAAGTCCCTCAAAACCCATGTGTTCAGAAATGCTTATGGCCTCCCAGACAAACTTCTATGTCACATATCTGTCTGTTGCTCTCCTAAAGAGACATACTGCATCTCCAGCTCGGCTACTTGTCCGCCTTTATTAAGCAAGCCCCTGTTGTCCCCCTTGCTGCCCGTTTGTGTTTTACACCCCACCTCTTCTAGACTGTCAGGTCATTTGAGCAAGGTCTTCATCTACCTATTGTTCCTGTATCATTTTGCAAATGTCTCATTTATTATTAAATTCCATTCAAAATATTGTAAAGTGATGCGGAATAAGCTGGTGCTATATTAATACCAATAATCCCACTCAGGCCCTGACCCTGACCCCAAGTTCATAATTTCTTTAAATATTTTATTCATTTGTAAAGCTGTACAATGCATACAGGGTTTCAGAAGGAAGCCCAGTCTGCCCTAAATGTAAAACCAAGGGAAACTTTCCTAGCTGAGTCCCCCACCGATCTCCTCAAGAGGAGGAAAAAGGCAGTCGTGCGCAAAAAAAAAAGAGAGAGAAATGTAGAATTAGAACTAAAATTAGTTGAATGGCTGAATAAGTGGGGATAATTGACATCATAGGTGAAATTAACAATTCTCCACACCCAAAGTAATTGACCAGAGACAAATGTTTTCAGATTTGAGCCAAAATAACCAATTCTTATTTACATAGAAACCTTTAGAAATTCGACAGGTGCAAACTTTACATAAAGTAATTGAACTGGGTAAAGTAATTGATGTGTTTTGTGGACTTTAATTTGGATTTCTGTCGAATTTACAGTTAATAAATACAGCTGATTACATCCATACATTTACATGTATTAGAATATAAAAACTTGATACTGGTTGCAGAACATCCATATATGTTTTAATTTGTTTTATTATTTATATATTTTTTATATTTTTTATTCATTTTAATATCTCTACGTTGAATGTGAAGTTGGTGCTATCCATGTTATATATAATAATACCTTTCTATTACAAGATCACATGAAGCTAATTTGCAACAACTCTAGTT